TATGTGGTAGCGCCAGTGTACAGATTCTAGTTCAGATAATTTTAGGAAGTTTTTGAATGCTGTTAAAGAATTTTGTTTGATTAAAGGCAGGTAAATTTCTAAATAAGGTAAGTGACTATTTCCTTTGTGTGGTGCTGAGATGGATTTCCTTTTTTATGTTATTTGATTGTTTGATTTAAAATGTAGTTTATTGAGATCATATATTTTTTGTTGACTGGTCCTTTGATTTTTTAAGTGGAAATACATCAATGTGTACGCAAACAAAGTCAAGGCTGTGCGCAATACCAAGTTTCTGCAATTCCCTGATTTTTTTAAAGTGAAAATATGTTAATGTGTTCATGGATACCAAGTCTGTGCTATTTTTTTACTTGTTATTTTATCTTTGTGTAGCGGCGAGTTTTGACGCAAAAATCACCGCTACACAAAATCAAAATAAGAAGTCAAAGAATTGCACAAACTTGGTATCTATGTACAGCCAAAAATTGTCAATTTTCTCCAAGCCCCCCCTGTAAATATATTTTTAACAACATCTTTTATCCCATTATTAGCCTCATGATGATCTGCCTCTTGCTTTTCATTCTGAAGTTTCTGAACAGCAATGTCATTTCTCTGTTCCTATTTCTTGAGTCGTCCATTACTTGGGCCAAACATTCTGTTTTACATTTTAGCGAATTCCACAGCTTTTGTGGTCAAAAGAACTTTAGGAAAAGGAACCTGTTTTAATCTCTTTCTTGAAATCGTCCTAGAGAGGAGTTTCGATATCTAAAGATAATCAAAACACCTCTTCTGAGATGATTTCTAGGACTCCTCTTCGGAAGAGATTTTTCGTCACTTTTGTACTTTCTTGGGACATTTGCATTTTTTGTTAGATCTTCAATTATAGTTCTTTGTTAAAGTAAACAGTGCACAGTTGTTTGGAAAATTTACAATTTAAATGTGTTTTTCCTTTGGTTATAGCTATCAAGAATATCATAATCGTTACAATTTGTTTTCTTGCAGGTTAAAATTTTTCGCTTGGGCACTTTTTACATATTACAAATTATGCCCAGAACATATTACAGAATATTTCTTCCAAATAACCTATTACCATTCAAAATTCATGTTTCTTTCCAGCTAAAAGATTCCACTTTCTCCAAGTCAATCTTTCACTTCATGGCTACAGGTGTAACTAATACTTTCTTTCCTTCCTGTTTAGCTTACAGTGGCACTACATTTTCCATCCAAAGACTGATAATGCAAGGAAGTGTTTTGAGAACTTCCTGTAAATTTAATGCATGTATCCGAACAGGAAGATTTTGAACATTACAGAATGTAGAGGTTGCACCTTCACCTGTTTACTGGCATTCAAGAAGGAAAACCAGGTCTCACTTGAGCAATCACTTTTCCTTCGTTCCTGGGAAACTCACTCATTTACAATACCTCTACAGGATTTCAGTCCCAACAAAGAGCTTTACAAACAGTGTTTGACAAGTACAGAGAAAGGTACACCCTTTGATAGAAGTTAGTGTTAGTAGATCTACACTGATTCAATTTTGAGTAAACCTGTTTTATTGAAGCACCTCATAGCTAATCAATAAATAAGCCTCAACTCACAAACTGAAATTAAGAATTTCACATTCTTTATTATGAAAAAAAAAAAAAAAAAAAGTCTACCACGCATCTAGTATGAAGCATAAAATATATAGTAAAGTGAGATGCTCTTTCTCCCATATACAGTGGATGGACAAAAATATGGAAACATCTTGTGAAATGCATGTTTGAAAAGGATTGATTTTAATGAAATATGTAGGTGGCGCTGGCGTTTTTGATTACTGACGCCACCTATACAACTTCGTAAATGTGCTAAACAGTTCAGTTGTTGTCGGAGTACTGTTATGTGAGGTTGTCATTGCATTATGTCAGAGTTAACAGACTTCGAACATGGGCAACTTTTTGGAGCATGTATGGTAGATGCTTCCGTAAGCAAGATAGCCGAGGTGTTTAGTGTTTCAAGAGGTACTGTATCGAAGATTTATTCCGCATATTTGAAAAGCGGAAAAACATCATCTGCTAAATCACAGCGCGGACGAAAGTGTGTCCTGAGTGATCGTGACAGACGATCATTAAGGGCAATCGTGACAAAAAAATAAGAAGACCACAGCTGCAAAAGTTACTGCTGAAATGAATGTTGTGTTACCGAACCCTGTGAGTACCAAAACAATTAGAAGGGAGCTTCATAAACAGGGAATTGCTGGCCGTGCTGCAATTGAGAAGCCACTCATCAGTGATGCTAATGCCCGTAACAGGAAAAGGTGGTGTTTAAGTCATAAAGCCTGGACTATAGAGCAGTGGAAGCGAGTAATATGGTGTGACGAGTCTTCTTTCACATTGTTTCCCACTTCTGGCTGAGTTTACGTCTGGAGAACGCCATCTCAAGCCTATAATACAGACTGCTTGTTGCCAAGAGTGAAACATGGCAGGGGTTCTGTTATGGTTTGGGCAGCCATATCGTGGTTCTCTGCTAGCCGCATGATAACTGTGTCAGGGCACATGACTGCCAAGACTTATGTGAACATTTTGGCCGATCAAGTTCATCCCATGGTACAAACTTTGTTCCCCGATGGTGATGGTTCTTCCAAGACGACAAAGCCCCTGTTCACACAGCTCACATTGGCCAGGACTGGTTTTCTGAGCACGAGGATGAATTGTCCCATCTCCCCTGGCCACCACAGTCACCAGACCTGAATATTATCGAACCTTTGTGGTCTACATTGAAACGGAAAGTGCGTTCTCGTTATCCACCGCCAACATCGTTATCTGAACTTCTCACCGTTTTGCAGGAAGAATGGTATAATATTCCCTTGGCAAACATACAGGAACTGTATTTATCCATTCCGAGAAGACTGCAAGCTGTTTTGGATGCCAACGGGTTTCCTACACCATATTAAGCAAAGAAACATGCTTTTTTAAAGGTGTTTCCATATTTTTGTCCAACCCCTGTATATATATATATATATACACACACACACCAGGTGGCCATAATTAAACTGACAGTGCTCACAGTGTTCTGTAGCACGATCTATTTGCGAGAATGACGCCACATTTTGTAGGAAGATTAAACAAGACGGGGGATGAAAGATTGCGTGAAAAAACAAATTAGTTCCAAAAGTCACCGCTAGGGGAATATTTGGCGCTGTGTAATAGAAAATAGAGTGTTAACAAATGCAAATCAATACGAAAATTACCTTTTATTTTGCATTCAGATGAGGTTCAATGTGGCTGCCATTGTTGTGGACCACATATTGCATTCTGTGCACAGTATGCACAACAGCAGAAAGTAACATGTCTGCAGGAATCTCCCTACAGTCCATGATATGTTATCCTTCAACGTAGCCAGGTCCTGGACCACTCCTTGATAGACCTTGGACTTAAGGTAACCCCATAGCCAGAAGTCCCATGGAGTAAGATCAGGCAAACGAGGTGGCCATGCTGTTGGAAAGTAGCGTCTAATGACTCTTTCTTTTGTGAATTTCTGTCGTAGCATCTGTTGCACCCGTACAGCAACGTGTGGAGGGGCACCATCTTGCATGAAAATGATTTCCCCCAGGCATTGTCTTTGCTGAAGTGCCGGAATGACAAAGCTGTTCAACATGTGGTGATATTTATCTCCAGTAATAGAACAGGTTTTTGGTCCTGTGTTCTCATAGAAGAATGGACCTACGATAAATTCCGCTGTGAACCCACACCAAACAGTTACCTTTGGTGAATGTAAGGGAATTGCTGTGACTGCATGTGGTGATTTGTCATCTCAAATTTGGCAGTTCTGGGTATTCACAGTTCCATTCAGGTAAAAGAGGGCCTCGTCTACCCATAAGATTTTCCACGGCCAAGCATCATCCACCTCCATTCTGGCAAGAAAGGTGAGAGCAAAAGTCAATCGCTTATCATGGTCGGGGTACAGTAACTCCTGTACATGGCTGATCTTGTACGGATAGAAGTTGATAATCTTTCGTAAGATTTTCCATACCGTACTGTTCCATAAGGCATATCCATATTCCGAGCGCTAGGGGTGGCAGCAATATTGTCTGGTCCTCTGTCGACAATCGCCGTGGCAACTGCTTCGATTGTATCCTGTGGTACAGGTTTCCATCCTCTGCTTGACTGAACCTTCAGAAAACCTGTTTTCTCAAATGTTGCAACCATTGCTTTAGCCCATTAACTGACACAGGACTGTTACCTTTACTTTACTTTTTTTTTTTTTTTTTGTTGTGCGTTCTAAAAGCACGAAGAGCGGCTGACGCGTTGCACTGGTTGAGGTAAAAATTTGACCAGTAACGCACGCTCGACTAAAGAAGGAGACATTGCACATAAACTTTCAATCCGATTGATTCGAAACGTAACACATTGCCTTTTAAAACCCAGGCAGCTGGCACTGTGCGAATAGATGTAACGTGAAATTTGAATAAAGAACTTCTTTTGCTCAGCGTACATGATATTGCTGATCACGAGACTTTATCGGTGTTTATGTAGATTTTACGCTTTTTTAAAAGTGTTACCATATTGCACTTGAACTAAATCAGAAAATGTGCAATGAAATAAAGAGTTTGGCACATAATGTCCTGTTAACCAAAGAGTACCTTTTTTGTGTGGATTTTATAAATATTGAATATGTCAAATTTCAAATTTTTTTATTTATGAAGACCCTTCCTTCAAATTGAAAATTTAGTAAAGATATATTTACGGGTATCCCTTGGCAAAAATTGACTATTTTTGGCTGTACATGGATACCGAATTTGTGCAATTCTTTGATTTGACATCATAATAGTGTTTCCATAACATTCAACTACTCAGGCTACCATAAATGAAATAGCAACTTCGCGATAATACAAGGAGTACCCTTCTCTCTACTCTAAGCAAAAATTTTTATTATTTACTTAAATGATAATTTTTGAACAGTTATTAATTCATCTATGGTATGACCTAATTGAAAAATTATTATTTTATCTCTTTCTCTTATTCAGATTATTGAAGTTGTACAAGTGGAAATGGAACTGAGTTCTGATATAAAAAGAGTAAAGTACGAATGTGATCATTTTGAGTGTATTTCACCTAACTCATCATTTAAGGAAAATTACCCTCCAGATAGTGACTTTCTTTCACCTTCTACAAATTCAAATATTTCTCAAGTGCTGGACCAAAAAGTAGGAAGTAATAATGTGATTATCTGCACAAAAGCTACCCCCAAAAAGTGCAATCAAAAGGATTTTGGAAAATCTACTCCTCAGAAATACAATCAAAATATGGAGGAACCTGTTACACCAAATACAAACTTTAAATTATTAACATCAGTTGCAGCATCACAAGATTATGCAAACTGTGGAACTCCAAAAGTAAGTATTAGTCTGAGGAACGTTATCTATTATAATTTGTTTGAATCTTCATTTTCATTGCAGTAAGTATTATCGTATTCAAGTTTATATTGTAATTTCATGTAAATTCTTTTATGTAATAAAATTCAATAATTTTAATGTATCTGTTGTTCTTGACCAAATATGGTTTTTCTTTATATAGTCAAAAAAGGAAGATCACTACAATGAAAAAATTGATGTTCCTGTATCCTGTGATACGAATACAAAAACCTGTATCCTTATCCGAACAAATCGAAAAGAGAAATCCTTAGCACTTATTTGCTCAAAGTATGAAAAGTATTTAGAATTCTTTTTCATTATTTTGATAAATTTTAATTGATTATTTTATAAACAGCTCTGTAATATATATATCTAGCATGGGATCATTGATGTCTCTTTAAATGAGTCCAGATAAGTAGGGAAAAATTAGCACTTTATAAGGAAAATAAACGCATACAGCACAATAGCACACACAGCACAATAATAACTGGAAATAACTCAAGAAGATGAATACTTAGCAGCTACTCCTTGCATATGAAATAAATCATAAAATTACTCAGATCACTTTCAGGGTAAACCCTAACTCATAATTCAGCTAATATCTGAATCTTGCGGCTGATTTGCAACTAAACTCCTTGCTTTTCAACCCATATTTATACCTTGCAGCATAGGCTCTATAAATGTTTGGAAGAATGCTATATGATTTCACGAATCTTCCAGAAAGCACACAAGTTGTCACCAATGTCCCTTAGGACCAAAATTGCCTAAATCTCGCCTTCTAATTGAGCTATTTTTACAGTTCCAAAGATGTTACACTCCATTAAAAGATCTAAAATTCTACGCAACAAATAAACACTTCAGTACAAATCATGGAGCCACAAAATAGATTAAACATAAAATTACCATGCTAAAAAACAAAAAAGTAAAATAATACAATACAAAAAAGCAAAAATATAATCAAAATGGATTAAGATATTTATATTATATGCATATTGGGGATCATTGACTTATGACCACATAAGTTCCAACTTACCAATAATTACCAATAAGTCAATTCAGTTGTATCTTGATCTAACTTAAAAATAAAGAAAATAAACACAATCAATAGCACACACAGCACAATAATAACTAGAAATAACTCAAGAAGATGAATACTTAGCAGCTACTTCTTACATATGAAATAAATCATAAAATTACTCATCACTTTCAGGGTAAATCCTAACTCATAATTCAGCTAATGGCTGAATCTTGCAGCTAATTTGCAACTAAACTCCTTGCTTTTCAACTCATATTTTTACCTTGCAGCATGGGCTCTATAAACGTTTGGAAGAATGTTATATAGTTTCAAAAATATGATTTCATGAATCTTCCAGAAAGCACACAAGTTGTCACCAATGCCTTTTAGGAACGGAATTGCCTAAATCTCTCCTTCTAATTGAGCTATTTTTACAGTTCCAAAGATGTTACACTCTAAAATTCTATGCAACAAATAAACACTTAAATACGAATCATGGGGCCACAAAATAGATTAAACATAAAATTACTATTCTAAAAACAAATAAATAAAATAATACAATACAAAAAAGCAGAAATATAATCAAAATGGATTAAAATATTTATATTATATGCATACTAGGGATCATTGACTTATGACCACATAAGTTCCAAATGACCAGTTATAAGTCAATTCAGTTGTATCTTGATCTAATTTAAAAATAAAGGAAAATTAATTAAATTGCTGCATTAATATAAGGTTTATTTACAGCAGAAAATTGGGTATTGGTGCATTATTTGCCCAATCATGACAAGAAACACTGGGCAAAGTGTTATGTAACAGAAGTAAGCAGCCCAGAATTTTATGAAAATGCATTTTATCTCACAATCCACTAAATACAAGCAGTTTTGGAATTTTGAAGGTTATGTTTATGGTTTCTGCTTTGATTAGCATGTGGGTTTTATTTACTTGTAATGAAACATAATGTAACTGTGGAGTTTGCCTATTAACAAAAAAGAAAGTGTTACATTTTTTCAGAAGTATGGGATTTTCCCTAGTAGTAGTAGAGTGCAGAAATGTACATCCCATGAAACAGTATTTCAAAAACAAATGAATTTTCCAAGTTATCTCTGGGAATTTATTTGGAAAAAATGTCTGAAAGGAAAACAGGCTTTTTTGAAGAGATTTTAAAGCAGATAGCTGAACGGTACCTATTGGCTAGAAAAATATAAATACTGTCCAGATTGATTTTCATTATTATTGCTAAAGTAATAAAATGCATATAAAACAATGCATTTGGCTAGCTTTTACTGATCGTTGATGTTACATTATTGTAGAAATGGAACAGATGTGCCAGATGTACTGGCTTGGTGAAAGTTTTTGGGGAGAAAACTGTGTTTTTCCAGAAATGCTTGGCTTAAAGTGCAAAATGTAAACAAAATTGAGAAGGCAGAGCTTAGTGATGTCATAGATGGGTGGAATTAAGGTTATGATATTACAAGGTATCCTTAAATTTTATATTATGTGTAATTTAGCATTTTCTACTGAAAATAACAATAATCATTTGCTTACAGACCTATATATCCATATGAAACATTCTTTTTTCTTAAATTTAATTTTGATTCAGACTTCTCACATCTTAAATCCGATCCCACAAAAAGTCCACATGTAAATATTCTGCACAAAATCAACATTAATAACACAAACAGCATATCTATCTATAAAATTGAGACTTGATATCATCCAAAATATGTAGTTGATATCTCTAAACAACAACCTTCACCAATATTCCAGCCATAATAAATAAGGCAATAAACAAACAATTAAAATGACACAAATACATCCAGATAACATCCGCATGCGATCCAACAAACAAAATCCACGTGAAAGGTGCAATTAAATAAAAAATTACTCGTGTAACGGAACAGAAATGCCTAAATTAATTAAATGGATTGCATATGAAATAAAATCTCACCAAGATCTTATGGTTACCACGCAAGGCAAAATATCACCAGATTTGGCAGACAATGTGTCTGGCAAATCAGTGCCATAGAAATCTTGCAGCCTAACAGTTTACAAACTGATCTTAAGTTATTGTGATATAGTTTTCTCCAATTTAGTGAAATTCTTTTCCCCTCTCCCTCAAATTAAAACAGGTCATGTGTACATGGAAAGAATCTAACACACTTTTAAATTACCATCCTATTTTCTTACTACAACCAACAACCAAAGAATTCATAAATTCTGTAGGTTGATTGACTTTCTTTATAATACCATCTTTTTCCATTGTTGCCAATTCCTTTGTTAATGGATTTAATAAGCTAAGTGGAATTATCCTACAGGGCTCTATAGCAGCAGCTCCTGGTTTTAATTTAATGTGACAGGTATATCAAGTTAAATTCCCAATTCCTTTAAATAAATCTTGATATCCTTTATTATCCTAGATTTTTTCTCTAAAGGTGGAATTTTATTCCTTTTGATCACTTCAATTTTATTTTCTTCAGTTTTCAGCTGAAGTTCAGCTAATTCACAAGCAAGCTTTACATATTTTAATACATTTCAAGCGCTTCTTCACCAATAATATGCAATAAAATAGCTACTTTAATTTCAGGTGATATAGTAATACCACTAGACGCTAACAGGTAAATCTGGAATTTTTGTTTCCATTTCTTCCAATTTTCGCTTAAATTACCTTCGAAATTTAGGTTATTTGGTGGCTTTAATCCAACCATATTTAATTTAAAACTTTAAATAGTTTATGTATTTTTAGCCACTTCAAATAAAAATAAACATTGCACTTACCAGTGATGGAAGTTTCAATTTCACTGTAAACAACTTCCCATCATATTTCAAAGTTTAGAATATCTTTAGGGTTATTCAAACCTACTGCTGGCTGCACCATGTATCGTTTTTATATGTTACATAAGTGCTTAATAATGATTAGAAGATCTGCACAAACATCATTTAATCTACATTGCTACTACAGTGCTCTATATCACAGTTATGGTTAATAATAATAATAAATACAGTTACATGTACAACACAATCTATTTTCCAGAGCATTGGATAAAAATAAACAAACAAAATTTTGTTATGTGTGCAAAGATGACCGTTCTGGGGGAGGGTTAGGTTACTTATATTGTGGCAAAGCACACAAAGACAATCTTTCTAAGGACAGAGATACTTCCGCGGAGGATTTTCTAAGGGAAACTGGCTAGTATTCATATTATAGTGGGTAAAACTGTAGAAAAGCATATCCAACCAGCCTATTTGCTAAGATTTAAACCAGGATTAAACTAGTAATGTTAATGATCTCACCGCTCAGCCGCTGGTGGACACTAAATGCAGAAAAATAGTCTTGTATTCCAAATGAGATCATCTTACATGATTATTCAGTGAAGTTCAACTATTAACTATGAAATCAGATAAGATATTAGAAGAATATTAACTATGAAATAAGCTTTAATTAAATATAACCTATATTTACAATAAGTAGCTAAAATACATTATTTTTTTTTACAAGATGCACCTGTCCAAACTAGTTTCTAGAATTTCAGCTAGTCATTTGCCATTGAACTCTTGTAAATATCTCAAAATTTGGATCCATGGATTTTAACTTAGTAGAAAATTAATTTAGCATTGTAAAGCATTTAGATAAACCCTTATGATAAATTTTTTCCTGGTCAATTTTTTTTTCTTCTTGTTTAATTCCTTTTTGTTTTAATTCAGCCAACTTTTCATTGGTTTTTCATTAGACTCTTGGTTTAGAAACAGTTCAATATCTTCAACTTCACATTCCAAGGAAAAATCTTTAGAGAAAGTAATAATGTTTTTATAGATTGTTCTCATTGTTGAAACCTTTGAATTTATTTATAAAACACTTGATATACTTTTATGAGATTTCATATAATTATTATTATTACTACTATTACTATTAATATAGCAATGGCCCTTCTCTTTTTCATAAATGCTTTTTCAGAAATGTTGCCCATCTCTCTTTAAAGCTCATGGTGTATTGTAAGTGTTCTGCACAGGAAGAGATGTGTAGTGTTCCCCGACTTACAAAAAGTTGAGAAACAAGGCTCTAGATATCAGGTGTTTGAAAATGACATAGAGCAGCAGTTCTCAACCTTTTGACTAATATATACCATCTAAATAAAAATTCAAAACCTATAGTACCACCACCATAGCAAACAAGGAAGGGAAAGATGACTTTGTAAAGGACTATCTAAGGGTTTTGTCTCATATTAACACGTAACACATGGGGAAAACCAAGAAAACACCCATGCAGCCTGCCCGTCTGTGAGAGACTTTCATTTAATTTGTGAGGTTTTTATCTATTTATTTTTAACCTTTTGAAGACGGGATGGTCATTATAGTGGCCATAGATTCTTCTCTTTGAAAAGACAGGGTTGTCTACTTTAGTGGCCATGTCTTTTTTCCCTATCTTCCAGGCTGAAAAGTGGGTGAAATGTCAGATTTGACGTGGGGTTTTAACCACTTATCTCTTTCAAATCTCTTTTCCAAAGGTTTCTTTTGTGACATGATGCACCAACCCCTTTAAATCCATTAAACTACACACAAGATTCCTCGTTGCAAATAGGAGGTGATTTCTTAAAGGGGGGAAGCATTCGGTTCAAGATTCCCCATCCTTTGGGAACTTTTACTGCTACCAAAGCCCCGGCCTCAAAAGGTTAATTTTAAGTTGAACTACTTTTCTATTACACTCTTTTCACGCACACTTTTCATGCCAGAATGTAAATGAGATAGCGAGCATTTATTCAGATAGCGGGACAAAGAAGTGCTATTTAAACGAGGGTTTCAGAAGTTAATTTTAGAGCGTGTTCTGCCCGTTTCAGATTACATTGTACCATGACTTATTAACGATTTGATTCTGTGGCATTGAGTGCTTCTAGCCATTTTGGCTTGTCTCACGACTTTTTAACAAACCAGAGCCTTTCTTGCACGCTTAAATTATCCTGTGAATTGTTAGGCTAATCTATTACATTTGAATTAGTTCAGCATTATATATAAGTTAAATAAAGGTGTTGGTGAAGTTGAGTGAAGAACAATGACCGAACTTGGTAAACCCAAGTTGGGTCATTGTTATTTCTTTGTGTTCAAATAAAATGGTCTTATACACATTTCTTCTGACTTTGTGTTCCTGTATTCACAAGACCAGAAGATAATACTTGTAGGGTCTTTTTAAAGTCTATAGTGTATGCTACCTAAGAAAACTAGACAAGTACAGTTTTGTAAGCAACCTATTTAAAATTTAAAACATAAATTTTCTGATAGGTGCTATCAGTCAATTGCTGCAAATAATGCATCATAAACATTATCAAGCCAATGTGATGCCTTATAGCATTTTTTCCCATTGATGTAAGTCTGAAACTAGTAAACATGTGACAACATTTAGCGATGAAAAACTGAGAACCAGCTAGAGAAACATAAACTAGTGCATACTCTTAACTTTGTGTTTCTCATCAAGGCAGAAATGTCAGAATTTCTACTTATTGCCAAAGTGACTTATCAGAGAAGTACCATGAATCTTCTCATGCAACTAGTTTGAGAACATCATAAAATGTTAATGTTCAATGCTAATTTTTAAGGTCTAAGAAATAATGATTATGTTCATGTATGCATGTATATGTATGTGTGTATATTCACACACTCGCACATATATTCATATACATACATACAATTTCTGAATCTGGTCTCAATAACAGAAGAGTACCAAATAAACATCAAGAACAAAATCATCTAGAAATGTGGGGGAATCTTGGAGAAGCTTCACTGTGATTTCCTATTATAAAAAATTATTACATTTTTTGCTTATTATCAGCCAGCCTTAAAAGCAACACATTTTTTGAAACTTTTAACTATGTTTTGAGTTCATTATTCCATATAAACTATTCTGTATGATATATGTCGTATGTAAAACATATCTGTATGAAAAAACATATCTGTATGAATGCAGATATGTAAAACATATCTGTATCATATATGTCATGTTGATAATCTATGGAAATATGTATAAATTAGCACTATAAAAATAAATTAGAGACAAAATAGTGTAATATGGACAAAATTATCTTATGGGAAAATTCTCTAAATATAAGGAACAGAGTTTGTGAAAATCAGATATAATGATTATATGTTCTTTAACATCTGAGAAACTATAAATGAATATGTATGATTTTTATCTTCAGAAGCTGAAAAATATGCAGAACCTTTATTCATTGTTTTTCGACAAGATAAGATAGATGAAAAGATACAGTGACTGTGAAAAACTATTGTTAAATAAAATATTATTAAATAAATAACATAACATGACTGCATGTGTTTTTCCTACTTTTCATTTACTGTATCCATAGGTAGTTAAAGTGATAATTTATTTTTTTAATGGAAATTATGAAGTTTATGCAGAATGTATTCAAAAACTGCATTGCTTTAAAAAGTGATCCATTCTAATTTTTTAAAATCATTTCCAAGTTGGAGGACTGCACTTTTAAAAAAATATTTTAAAGATGATAAAATTTTAGGTACTGTTCTGTTATCAGGGAACCGGATCCAGAAATGGATGGATGGATGTGCGTGTTCATGTATGTAAGCACAAATGTATGTGTGTGTATACATATACACATGTATGCACATGCATTCATACATTTCGTAATCCAGTCCCGATTAAAGAACGGTATGGAACTTTAAATAACAACTCCTTTAAATTTGAAATTCTTGTTTGTTTTGATTAAAATGAATGATTTTTTATTTAGTTCAAATATGCTTAAAATTATTTTATGTTCATAAATTTCTGCTTTCAGGTTTTTAGATATGTATCCACTTTATCCATCTCCTGAGGATAAAATAGTAGTTTCATTAGATGATGTTTCTACTAAATTAGGTACTTTCTTTCAATTCAGTAATTACATATTAAAATTATAGAATTTTTACTCACTTAAAAAAAGTTTCAGCTTATAATTTCAGCAAATTGATTACTATACAAACAGTATATTTCTGTTCATTGTTTTATGTATATTTGTACAAATTGATTATATATAGTTTTATATATGTATGAATATATTTTCTTCTAGAAGTTTATTTGGCATTAGTAATTCACCCAGATATCGAATCAGAAATGTGGCTTCGTAGATTATTCTTTTGAACGCTCCTTGAAAAAATCTTAAGAATTATAAACATGTTTTTGTCTTAATCATGTAATAAATATCTCTAATTATTTTTCATTCACATTCAAGATTAATGTGCATTAAAATTTATCATTCTAATACAATCATTTAAAAAAAAATTTGCTTAGACTGTCGGCAAATTAAAACCCATGGGCTAAATCTGGCCTGTGGGCTGATATTATTTTTTACATGAAAAATTAATCAAATTATGTGCTATTATGCAGCAGCCAATGGTGGATGTGAAACTTGTGAATAATGACCACAAGTAATGCTATTATCTTTTGTTCGTCATTGTTTTTAAAAGCACTCCCAGCAAGAGAATGTCTGTGCACTATGTGCTGCATGAGCATGTTTATAATTTTGCAATAGTGGTGTGTGCAATATTGTCTGTGCTGCAGTATTTTATTCATTCATACCATTACTATTTCACTTTCAAAATTAAATAAGAAGAGAAAAGTAGACCTCGAATGTCGTGCTTTTGAATTCTCGTGCGTGAAGTAGAATAGAGTGCCAATTATTTTGTCATAGAATTAAATGACAAAATTTTATGTGTAACATGCAGTAACATAAAGAGTGCAATATCTGTTATGATAACCAAACTAAGCTTGCAACATAATATTCAGACCTCTCAGAAAATGACGACAATTGAAATTTGAAAGTTTAATACAGAATGTGTCATCGCAATGCAATTAATTCACAAAAACAGAAACTGATAATGAAGAAGTAAGTCAAGTTAAGCTATTAATAGCTCATTTATTAGCCACAAAAGGAAAACCATTTACCGATGATGAATTAGTTAAATCACGTTTGCTTGTGGTAGTCGAAGAAATGTGTCCAGAAAAAATAGGTATCTTTTGATCTGTCAGTCTTTCAGTGATAACAACTATTAGGAGACTTGAGGACATCAGGAACCACATCAAGAGTTACAGGGCGATCCTAGCGGGAGGCAAGTTGGTGCACAGAACATGATCAGCCAAATTTAAGGGCAGCAAAATGATTATCAAACATATTATATTTCTGTAAAAAAGGGCGGATAGTTTTAATTTGCTTGTGGGTGGCTGATGGTCTGGGATTGGTACTAAAGATTTAATTAAAAGAAGACAAAAAATTACAAATGGTTTTCGTTGGTTCTTGATGAGTACACATATATTATTGATACTGTCCAACTGCTGGTTTTTATTTGAGGTGTCAATGTTGAATTTGATGTGATTAAAGAATTAGCTTCTGTGAATAGTCTGCATGGAACAGCTACAGGTGAAGATAGCTTCTAGCAAATCCAGTTTCGTGAATTTTTATTAGAGATCAAAGCTGAATATTCTAGCTTCCCTTATCATACAGCTGTTTGCTGGCTCAGCAATGGAAAAGTTTTGTTGAGATTCTTCAAACTGAGGGAAGTCATAGATATTTTTATTAATGAGAAATATTGCCAACAATTTTTATCATTGAATTGTGAATGGCTATGGAAATTGGCATTTGCTGCAGATGTCCTGGGATATCTCAACAAATTCAATTTAAAATTACAGGGAAAAACAGTTCTCATATATGAAATATATTCTATCATAAAATTTGCATTGTTTGAAATGCAGATAATATTAAGCAAATTTGACTATTTTCCATGCAGCAAAAAATTTCAAATATTAGCAAAATTCCCATTCCCAAAAGTATTTGCACTGGATATATTTTCTGAACTTGTACTGCACTTTAGCAGCATTCTGTGGATCTTGATTGCAAATGCAAAGTATATTTCCATGTTTCAAAATTCATTTGACTGTATCACTGAGGAGCTTCCATCAGATAGCTTCAGTTGGAAGTGACCGATTTGCAGAATGATATGTTAAAAATGATGTTTAGAGTTGTTGTAGGTATATCTAAGTCAATTTTATAAATATATTTTCTGAATATAAATATGTGCATTTAAAATCATATGCACAGGGATGGATATTATATTCCATATTTCGGAGTGCTTACCAATGCAAAAAGACATTCTGAAAATGAAGTATGTAAAATCGTATTTGAGATCATTGTTAACAGATGACCATTTGCAATCATTATTAACAGATGACCTTTTTATCTCCAGCGCATGGAACTATGTATGGGAAATTTTAAAGATATGCTCATTTTAAAATTATTTTTCGACATTGCTGTTGAACTGAATTTTATGGTTTAAGTGGAAAGAACATGATATTTAATAAATAAAGGTAACACACAAAATATTAAACCTTTTTACATAATCTGAACCCTTTCAGATTTTTTGCATTTTTATTTCTACTAAATCTTTAAAGTCACTTATAAAATTAATAGAAATATTTATATTATTATTTTAAATTGCAAAAATCAAATAGTTTAACATAAAAGAAATTTCTTCTTAATGCCTTACGGCCTTTTGAAAATCATAATGCTTAAATGACTTTCTCGACACCTTCTGCAGATATGTCTGCAGTCATCTACTCTTTTTTTATTCGCTATATACCATAAACACTTTTGTAACAGCAGAGGTTATCACCGTCTGTTTCATCAGTATTTGGTCAGCATAAAAAAATTACTATTCAAAATACTTTGTGAAAATATGTTGTACTTAGATTTAAAAAAAAAAAAAAAAAAAAAAGTTTTTTTGATTAGTGCCTTTCATTACCATTATGGTACATAAAAACAGTTTGTATTAAAATATATTATTCAGTTACTGGCTAGAAAATAGTTCTGAAAATAAAACATCTTCAGAATTATTTTTCTTTGTTGAATTTGCAACATGCAGAAAAGAAGAAAAAAATCTTGCAGCGTCTTTTATTTACAATATTTCTGGTATATTGTTTGAAGTTTTCAAAAATATTAAATACATATGTGACACACTATTTTCAAATTAGCAAGTAAATTATATTGCATATAACATGAAGTTAGACAGAATAAAAGATGATGAAATGGCGAAAGTAATTACCACACAGGGACAAAATTTTTGATTATTTGTCAAAAGGGAATATATTTCTGTGTTTGGCATCTTTTATTCACTGTCAGTATCACTAGAGTAGCCACCTGCAGTATAGGTATTGCTATTGCTGGCATTGATAGCTGTCGTTCTGCAAGCTGTCTAGAGCATTAAATATTCCACCCTTCAAAAATCCTTTAACGATTGCTTCAGGCTTGACACTTCCCCAGGTTGGTAAAATCCATTCACACACTTGTTGCATACTCAGATGTTTGTTTTTTTTCCTGTTGGTATAAGGCCATGATTTGGTGTATACTTTCTAGAAAGTCACCAGCATGAACTTTTAAAGGAACAATTAACAATAACATCAAAGGTCTGGGCATGAAAGTTAGGTCTTCGGGAACCATAGCTATATTGTACATCAGTTTTTAACTCATTTAATTTTCCTTTCATTTGAGGAGTCACATGACATTGGATGCACTGCTGTTTTGCCAGATGTTTGTACGTTTCTATTTCTAATCATTTATGTGTATAAGCCCCCTTCCCGATTTTCATATGCTTTTTTTGCGGAAAAAAGTATGGCCTATACACGAGAGAATACGGTATTTGCATTAGGATTTTATTATAAAAAGTTCAGTAACCTGAATCAATCATTATAGATTTAACACCTATAAGAACACATGTTCTAATAATTCAAAGTTAGACATTAGGCCATTTTTGACCGTGTATGCATTTTAAATGAATTTTTTTCCTATTTTACTATTTAAAAAACATCATAAGGCAATAAAAATTTTAAATTAGCAAGCAAACATTAAACATGACTTATAGTAAATGTATTACAATTTTGAAATTTTTACAAAAGCAGAAAATTTGTTGTTATCAAACATTTACATATTATATACTTGTGTAATGTTAAGTTCACAAACTCCCTCAGTTCCTTTGTTCAACCAGTGTGTCAAAATCGGAACATAAAAGTGCCCATCAGTCAAAATTGACCGATGGGCACTATAGCGATGTGTACTTATAGCTGTTAAGTCAATTTGAAGTTCTTTTCAAATAGTGGTGTCATGCAACAGAAAAACCTCCTAAAAATGCCCAGATTTTGTATTTCAAGGTTAGAAGTCGTGTATATTTATTATCATAATCTCATCAGCTTTCTCATTTTTCAGGTGTTGAAAGAAGACGACTTTATGACATTGTTAATGTATTTGAAAGTATCGGAATTCTGACTCGAAATGCTAAAAATCAGTATTTGTGGTTTGGTAAAAACAATCTTCTGAAGTCATTGCATATACTGAAGGTTTGTAAATTTTTTGTTTAGTAAGAAAAGTTAGTTCAATTTTAATTTTGAAAAGTGGAAATTATTCAACTTGTTTACATTTAAAGTAAAATTGATTCTAACATCTTTTTTATCATAAATATTATTGAAATTGCTTTTTTATTGTAAATTAATTTAAAGCAGTAATTGCCATTATGTTTTAATTATTTATATCCGAAAAAAAAAGAGAGAGAGAGAAATTTTACATTCTGAAAAATATCTAAAATAAATAGTTGCATTTCTTTCCACTGTAATTTTTCATTTCATACATTATTCATATAATTAAGAGTTAGAAGTGAGTTTTATATTCCTTTATATAAATCAAATTGATACTCATATCTTCATTTGATAAAATATTAAGATTTTATCTGCATTATGTGTCTATAAAATTATTTGGGTTGGTAACGTTTTGCGGATATGCAACGATAAAGATGACAATTTAATGTGTGGAAATTGTCTTGGACAGTAAATTCCCGCACCCATTAGAAATTCTTGCCAAAATTAGCCCTTGAAATTAAACCTTCCTTTTAGAATACAATGGTATGACATCAGATGTTCATGAGGGTGACATTAAAATTTTCGGAATGAGAAATTGTTAAAAATGTTACATCTTCTACACTTTGGGAACTATTGTCTTAGTCAATGTAGTAATAGTCTTAGTAAAAAGCATTACTACCATATGTAAATATATATAATATATGTGTGTGTGCACACTAAGACATTAAGTGTACAGGCATATTACTTTAATTCATGTATACATTAAGACCAAATGAGAAATACATTTTTACACTAAGAACACATATATACAGTGAAAATCTTTGAGAACAGATATATTCCAGGTAATTTAAATTTTCTCTAAAAGTACCGTAATTTCGGGTAGATAAGCCGTGGCTTATACGTGTTTAAAAGTTGAAAATTTAGGTCGGTGGTATATCTGAGGTAATTTTATTTTTCCTCTGTCCTGAAAACTTTGCTAGTTCAGATCACAAGCGAAACGGTAAGAATTCGCTGCAACATTCTAACCTCAGATTGCGCTAAGTGCAATATGTTCAAACTCTCCCAACTAACGTAGGTGACGCTCTCTATAAAGACACTGTAATGATGCATGTACTTTCTGCTAAACTCCGTGGTTTTGCCAGTGTTTTTCTATGACCTTTTTGTTTTAATGGAAACAGCTACGTTTACTTTCCAAGTGCTGTGTTCATTCTTACACATTTTTACTGCTTTCTAGCTGGCTTTTTGCTAGCCTTTTCATTCACGGTTTAAAAATATTATTACAGATCCTTCTCGAAGAAAAAGTTATACAGCTGCTTTTAAGGTTTTGGCAGTGAAGAAAGCGATCCAAATTGAAAATCACGCTGCAGATAAAGAATTTCAAGTTGACGAGTGATGCATTCGGCGGTTGAAGTGCAAACAAGAATTAGGGAAAATGCCTAAGAAAATGTGTGCTACAAAATGTGTATTAAAAATTTTGTTGGAGGACCTAATCAGTGTTTCAGGTTCGTGAAGTGAAAGAAATTATCTGTCAGGACCAAAACAACAGTTAGACAAAAGCTTCCCGTGGACTGGCTTGGAGAAAAAAAAAAGATAGCTTTTGTTAAGTACACATATAAGAAAATTTAAAAATAAATTTGAAAAGAGAGCAAATAATTAATGTGGACAAAGTTCCCGTTACTTTTGACTGTCCTCAGAGCAGAAATGTTCATTCAGTGGGTGAAAAAAAACTATTTCAGTGTTAACAACCGGGAATGAAAAGTCTTCTTTTACATGTGTTTTGGGTTGTTGCGCCAATGAAGAAAAGTTAACCCATTTGATAATTTTCAAAAGAAAAACAATTCTGAAAGGAAACTTCCCTAAAGAAGTATTATTTATGCCAACGAAAAAGGACGGATGTGTGAAGAAGTGATGTTTGGCTGAGCGAAAATTGTCATAAAAGGAAAGGTGCTTTTTTTCCAACCCCAGAGGACTCATCATTCTGGATTCAATGTGATCCCATTTAACGGGTACGGTAAGATCTGAAGCAAAAAAAGCCGATGTCTCAGTGATACCAGGTGGGTTTACAAAAATTTTACAGCTACTGGATCTCGCTATAAGTGGAATTTTCAAGCATGAACTACGAAAGCAGTGGGAGAAATGGATGCAAAGCGGACACTATTCCTTCACAAATTCCGGACCGAATGAGAAAAGCTTCGTATGAGGAGGCTGCCTTATGGGTCTATAATGCATGGTAATCAGTCCGAGCTGATACAATCGGCTTTCATTAAATGGAAAATCATCGAAAAAGAAAATTAAAGTGAAGATACTGATGTGTCAAGAAGTGATTTAGAATAGAACGATGAAATTGACCTTAAATGGTCGTTTGTTAAATTTACTTAATTCTGACATCAATGAGTCAGATTTTGAAGGTTTTGTATAAATAAATGTAGTTTAATTTAATTACATATTTCTGTTTACTTATCTAATTTATGTATTCCTTTTCATAATATGGTAATTTATGGTGATAAACGAAGTCTACCGAACCCGTAAGAATAATATCCAATAGAAATCATCAGAGTTTGTTTTCGGCAAGTTCAAGTGTTTCTTCCTTATTTATTTATATATTACTGATTATATTTATATTGTAAAAGTTAGAAAATGCTATCTATGATGATTACATTAATGTGGCAGGGAATTACTGAATATTAAGAGCCATATTTCGGAATGCTTTGCTGCGGCGTATACGGCAGTGCGGCTTATCCGATGAACTTTCATTTTCAAGTCAATTATCATGTGTGCAGCGTATACGCCAGGGCGGCTTATCTACTTGAAATTACGGTAGTCGTCTTAGGAAGAATATGCCAAATACTGAAGTTTATTCATTTTCTGATAAATATCGGCTTAAGTACAAGAGTGTTCTTTGTGCATATATGTGAATATTTTGTTTTGGACCTGCTTTAAGAGATATTATGCTTTCAAAATTTTGTTTTTCCAGGAACTGCTTTTTTTTTTTTTTTTTTTTTTTTAAAGCATATTCCATATTAAATGTATCACTTTTCTTTTCTTTCTTTTTATTTATTTTAGGTCAGTATCTATCAACTTTATAATACACTTTTTATGTAAATTCATCATAAGTATTTAATTTAGTGCTTCTGAATACTTTTTATTGTTAATTAAAAAAACACCTCCACTAATGATGGTGAAATTTTGTGTGAAAATGCAATTCCATTTGGCATTAAGAAATTAAATTTTCATTTCTTTTGCAGGCTAAAGCTCTGAAGGAAAAAATTTTAGATAAATTACAATTTGTGCTAAATATGGAGTGCGGCCCATGCTGTAAACAAACGCGTATATTAGATGATGTTCAAAATTTCAACAGAAATTTAGAAAGTGGAAATGCATCTTCACTTGAAGATGACAATGCTCAATCTTCACATGTGCCAGAACTTCGAAAAGAAAAATCTTTGGGTATCATGAGCCAAAAATTTTTGATGTTGTTTCTGGTTTCGCCCGTAAGTGAATATATGAAGGACTAAATATTATGTTTTAGTATATAATATTTTATAACATGCCTTACCATTTTCTGCTTTTAGCAAAAATTTGAAACTGTGATAAATGCATAAAAAGATTTTATTGCTTGTAAACTATTTATTTACTTTTTTCCCCCCAAGAATAAATTTCTCTCCAATGTATAAAAAGAAATTAGAAAACGGAACTTTTGTTGCCATTCAACCAGACGAAAGGGAAATTTCATGTATTGCTGCGAACTTTGTAATTACAACATTCTATTAATTAAAATCAAAAGAATAATATTTGTTATTAATTTATCTTTTGCCATATTTTTCAGTTTGAATTTTTAATATGGGATTTGTAATATGTTTCATGAAAGTAAAGAAACTTGCATATTTCTGGAAAATCATGAAATTTTAAGTACATTATACAATGCTTGCAACTTATTAAAATCACTCATATTCCAAAGGTATTTTTAATATCAGCTTTAAACTTATTTAGTAAGAAATATTGAAAGCTGAAAATCTAATTTGCAATACTCAAATCTGTCTAATGAAATACTAACAATTAATCTAATTATAATTTTTAAAAAGTAATGCTAAAATTAAACTATTTATGCAGTTTTAAAATTTATTGTCTAATTATTTTTATTTTATTTAGAATTATGTTTAGGATGAACTTTATACAAGAACTGATCTATCTATGTTTGTTTTGTATTCATCAACAGATTTTCAACTATATTCTCAGCTGTTAAATGCTTTTTTAGTCGCCATCTATTAGTTCTAGAGTTTGCAGTGCTTTTTAGGATTCAACTGAAGTTGGCATGTTGTCACTTTCTTTCATATCACTTTCAGTTCAGTTCAGCAGCTCTTTTGATAGTTTCTGTAAAAAGAATTATCATAATCAGTTCCCCTCCCCCCTCACATGTTGACTCAATATTACTGTCAGTTGCAGAGTGTTCAAAAAAGGAATCCTCATGTAGGCAATGTTTTGAATACTACCGTCAGTGGTATTCAAAACATTGCCTATAACTTGCACTTCCTCTGAAACTTCTTTAAAATAAAAAGCAACTTTTCGAAAGCAATTTTTAGCTGTACTTTAACTGCTTTCTATGCCTTGACTATAATATGCATAATCTCTAGCAAACATATCAACTTAGTTATCCCTTTCAAAGTTTTTGCATTTTTCCAAGAATCAGTTTATCGTTTTTGCAATGACATTTAAAACTTTCATAATACCCTGGTCTTTCAAAATACTCTGAAGGATAGAAGTAGTACTTGCTGGAAAAAACGCTAATTTTAATTATTTTTCAGAATGAGATCAGATGTATGTGCACCAAAATTAATTATTTTTTGATTATTTTTTTATCCAGTGTCCCACATTTCAAAGGGCAATGAATAAACATATTTGTCATCCATGAGTTCTTGTTATGGTAAGCTAGAAACAAAATGTTTGTTGCTTTTGCCATTACCAATGATAATTTTTCTTTCGTGCTTTGATTCGCATTTCCAATCTTTGCATGCGATATTCTGATATTTTAAATGTCTTAAGAGAACAGAAGAAAAAATAGGCATATTGCTGTTATTTACTTTTAGACAAAGGTTTTTCCAGTGCTATGAAAATACTCTCTTTGTTATCAGCTTGAAACTTAAATTTTCATTTTCAAAGTAAAGGGGAGAGGAGAATTATCAAATTTTTATCTTAGTATAAGGTGACAGTCTAAATGATTTCTGTTCATTTAAATAATCATTACAATTTGATCATATTTGAATCACAATGTTTAATAGATACTTCATTTTAATTTTCTTGTTTGAATTCTGAATATGATATATTTTTTAAAATCATCATTTTATTTTCATTTTAGTCTAAAGTTATAAGCCTTGGTGTTGCTGCAAAAGTTCTGAATGGGTTTAATCAAAGAACTGTGAAAGGAGCTCAAGTCAAAAGTAATACATTTCTCAAAATTAAATTAATTGTTATGTTGAGGTAAAATTTTACCATTTCACAGTCCTTTTTTGAATTTCCTCTCTCTCATTTTTATTATCATTAAAAGCTTAAGAGAATTATTAATCAAGTAGACAGATCAAGTAGAATATTGTGTTTATTTTGTAATACAATACATAATTTTATCTTACTTGCATTGTAAAATGGTCTTGTGTATGATAATGTTAAAAACAGCTTTGTTGTTTGTAGCCATTATTCTTAATATAGTCATGCATTAAATCATTGATAACATGGCCAAATCGGTAGTACTATATTACTGATAGTAAATCTAGTATTTACTTTTAAATTAATTTTTGCTCCATTTCTCTTTTTCTTTTTCATGTCCTCCTAGAAAAGTGTATTGTTGTAACCAACTGCGTTTAAAATTGTTTTTATTTTATACTCAGTTTGTACAGTAAAACTCTGCTAATCCAGAAATACCTCACTTATTTTTGGATCTAGACAAAATTTTTATTTTGATAAAATTCAGGACAGCAGTTTTTTCTTATATAAATATTCATATTAGTTTTTATAATAAAAACATGCTACAAATATGATGTATTTTAATTTTAAAAATGTCTCCTCCCTTTTTAAGTAATATTAAATATGGTGAATCTTTGCAAATTTTTTACTTTAAATATATATCAATAGTTTTTGGTTATATATTCCATTGTCTTTTAAAATTAGTGTGAATTTATATTGTTAACATGACTAAAGAATACTTTTATCTACAACTTTTCAGACACTGAGTTATAACTTAGATGTATCTTTTGGCTTATTTCTTTACATTATATCCTACAAACAGATTTATTTATATGAGCTGTGAATAGGGATAGATTCCTAAAAATATCTCTTGAAGAGATTTTTCTTTCTCAAAAAACATGGTAGAAAGATTCTTAAAAACAGAAAAATTTTCTTTCATAAATCCAGAATTTCATGTCAGGAATGATTTGTTTAGTTACTTATTTGAAAACAATAAATATTTAATGGACAATTATAAAGTGAAAAATAAAGTACTGGAAACCATGACATATAATTCACATAATTTTTAATCCTAAGATGTGCAGGTATCAGAATTCTGTATTGATTTCTCTTTGTGCTCAGTTCATAGTTAAACATTTCAGAAATTAATAAAATTGTGTATTATATTTAAAACTATATATTTCATGCCCCAGTTTTTGTTTGAATTTTAATGTCTTCTTTCAAGGTAAATCCTTATATCTTTTAAAGACTTCTCAGAGAAAAAATATAATTAGCACGTTTAGATTTTGTTTAATAATAGAATCAGGCAATTTAGAATAATAATTTATCATAAGCTAAAAACTTTACGAAATGCATGAGAACCCTGGACCATGAATGTGACTCATTATGATTAAATCGATTCACAAACAGATTTTTTTAACAAAAACAGTCTTAGGCAATGAACTGTGTCTTGAACAGCAAATGTGCAGGCTAAAAAATAATATTCAAAAGTTGTTTGATGTAACATCTAACACAAAATTAACAGTCTTTTAGAACAGCATTTTAATACTCTCCGTTGCTTAACACGTTGATTGCCGCATCATCCATATTCGAGTGTTGGCAAAAATTCTGATTAGGCCGCATAATCAATATTCGAGTTGACACTTATTTGAGTACTTACGAGGTAAAATAGGTATATGAAAAAAAATAAGATTGTTGAATGGTGAAAAAAGGAACGAAAATTGTTGCCGACAGCTAAATTTATTCCATTCACTAAACTTGTGCTTTCTTTGGTATCAGTTTTTCTTTATCCTAAACAACCAATTCTTATGAAACATGATTAAGTAGTATCCACATCACATTTATTATCACTGTGTATATCAGAATATGGTGATGTTATTCTATCTTTCTAAAAATCTCTGCTGTTCCTCATAGCTACTATTCAAATTTTTGTAACTTCTAACAGGTTTCTTCTTCACTGCTATGCAATTTACTTACTTTATTTTTCCGTTTTTCTTTTAGATATTGCAAAAAACTAGGGCTATAATTCTAACACATACACACGCCCCAAAAAAAGTTAACTATTTGTCACTGCAGAAAAAATATTTGGAAAAGAAATAATTTTTGAATCTCGCATGCTTTATTAAATACTTCACTCAGGAAAGATTTTCAACTGAATGAATATTCTGAAATGTTTTGTTCTGGATGTTCTAAACTCTTACTATCAGAAACAATAGGTGCATGGTATAGCAGCACACTTGGTCTGACAGTGATCTTCTTAAAAACTGATTTGGCAGTCAACTTGTTAACTCTTACCGACATACCTTGGTAGCAATTTATTTGCATGGTCATGAATTCAAGCTGGAGGCTAATACGGCCAGATTTTGTTCTCAAGAAGAGAATGTTGAGATTTTTGACACAAAAGATTTCTTTGTTGCTATGATACTATGTCTTTAGGCAAAACTGTGAGCTTGAAGTTAAACCATGAAAATGTGGAGGAGTTACTAGATGATCTCCTCAGTACAGAAAAACTAGAACAACTTCAAAAGCAGTTAAAAAAGAATTGGGCATGAAATACCTTCAGAGGAGAGATAGTTAGATTTTTTATCTGCAAAAGTTGCACAAAATGGGGGTAAAGTGCAATGTTTCCTGGCACGGTGTCATCGTGATAAGACATAGCATAGCATAAGAATTTTCAATAATAATGCTATACATCACTTTAGAAAGAATTTTTTAAATGCAGACAAAACAACACCACATAATAGAAATTTTTAATGAGGCAGAAGCCCCTGAATTTTCAGGTAGAGTCGGATAGAGCTATGAGACAAAGAAGATGCCCCAGAAAGACAATTTTCTTAAGTTTTAAACCCAAGTGTCACAATTGCGTTTATCTTGTCATCAGACTTTTTTCTCTCTTGGTACATATTAGCTTATGACTTTAAATATTTTATTTTCTTACTTTCTTTAATAATGTTAATATCAGCTCGATTTTACATCGGGTAAATTATGAAATTTTATGAATTTGGAATAATTTTTTAATTTTATGAAAATGGAGGCTAAAATAAGTAATTATACAAATTTAGCTAATAAATGTTGTGTAAGTACAAATCTTGATGTGTAGATTAAAAAAGACATGTCACTCAAAGGGTACATAGAAGAGAGCTCTATGCAAGGGAACCCTGATTTGTGTCCCACTAACTTGGGCTGTGAAATGCATCCACTGGCAGTGGTGCAAGCATTAATGGAGTACCACAAACTGTAGCTGAGTAAATCCAGACATTAAAATCTGGATGATACAAAGCACGTGCACTCAGCTTGATAATACATATAAAAGGCACATGTTGGAGATGAACATATGAAACAAAGATGTTGAAGTCATGGTATGGGCATGGCATCATTTTGAATGCCACACTGACCTGCACATTTTTATAATTGCAGCTAAGAATAATAAAATATTCAGGTATGAGTTTCTTGATCCTTATGTCAAGTTGTTTAGGTATGCAGTTATTAATAACTTCTCCCTAATGAACTATAATGTTCATCCCCAACATGCTGCACAAGTGACTGTTAACATTGAGGGGAAAGGAATCTAGCAGATGGAATGGCCCACATGTTTTATGGACTTAAAACTAATATAAGCATGTATGGGATACGCTAGGATCCCAGTGTTCATCATCAGTGCTAGTGAATAGTGCCACTTGAAGCCCCTGCCTAGCATTCTCCAGGAGCTTCTAGGCACTATTCATTGTGGGTATACTTTTTTACTGCAGATACTCCTGGACAATCTAATAAACAGCATGGTAAGCAACTGTAACTGCAGCATTTCAGTCAGTGAGCCCACTCACCTTAATGATTTATTTTCTATATATCTCTAATAAAAAATTCTAACACTGGCTTTTCACTATTCATTTTATGACATTTCCTATGTTTTTATTCATTTCTTTTGAAGGGGAAAAAAAAAAAAAAAAAGTAATTCTATATATTTTAAGTTATGTGAGACATGACAAAATAAAGTTCTTATATGAATTTTATGTTCTTAGCTGCAAAATCATTCCACTTTTATAATTGTTCCTTTTATTTTTCGTACTGGCATACATGAATTTTTATGAAGGAAATAATTTCAGTTTATAAACATTTCAGGTGATGAACAGCCATTGGGAACAAATTGTGGTCATGAACCAAGGTTTCACTGCAATAAATATCTTTAAATGCATATTCTTTGTTCAGTCTAAAAATATTTATTTGTATTAATTTATTGCTACAAATTAATACTTATTCAATTGTTTGACAATGGCGAGAAATTTTCTGAGTATATTGCATTTTTATTCATAAATATTGATTAAAATTCTTGATGTATCACAGGCTTATTAAGCAAAAACAGATTGCTGTGTACATGGCATGAACATCAGCACAAAAAATTACGTAAGGAATTCTCAAAAGTGATAAGTGTTTTGTTTCTAATAAATTCGTGAATTTTTGTTAGGATGTGTGGATAATGAGAATGTACTCGTTTTTCTTTTAAGATTTAAATGTTAATATGCGTTATTAGATAAAGAATTGCTTTTTATAAATTTATTAACAAATTTTATCTTCCAGTTTTATGATCAAAAATACTGATGAAGACCTGTTTTATATTTCAGCTCAAGTTCGTCGTTTGTATGACATAGCCAATGTTTTCTCAAGTATCGGCCTTATACAAAAAGAGATGACATTAGTTCAGCTAGGACGAAAACCTGCATTTAAATACATTGGGCCTGATTTGCAAGATTTAGAAGGTAGCTTAACCAAAAATTTTGTTTTTATCTAAAATTTATTCAAATTCTTATAAAAGATTATGTTCAGTAATCTATGTAACGATTATGTATGTAGATTATGTTTAATGAGGTAATGTTGAACATTATAGAACAATCTCAGCACAATTTAAACATAGAAAATTTGTTTTATTTTAAGCTTTCTTGGATTTATCATTATTTCTACTTAATGGAAAATGGCAGGTATAGAATTTGCAATTTTTTAAAGAAGCTATTTTAATTTTAACAAGCTTTTGAATCATACATGTGGAATTTGTAGAGACCTTAGTTATTATGTGTTATGGCAGTCGCTATAAAATCAAATCATGAAGAAAAAAATTGTTCAATGTGGGGGGGGGAATCCACCAAGCAGAAAATCCACAGAAACAATGTATATATTACAGCAAAATGCTAAATGTAACAAAATTACAAACTGTATTTATTTCTTGCATGTAATTTTTTGCAGCTGTTGTTATTATGGTTTCAGAACGGTTTCATTTTCTTTGCAATGGCACCACATAAATTCTGCTAGGTACAAGTCAAGATAATTGCCAAGTTATACACCGAATTCTTTGATGAAAAATGCATTTTACCTCATAAAAGAATGTGCTAAATTTATCACATAATGCTCCTATACATCACTGATATATAGTATAATATTGGAAACGCAACGTTAAAAGTTGGGGGGGGGGAGAGACATTCCTGTTGGAAGTTGGTTCTTTGATTCCTGACTGAGCAGAATTCCTTTCCATTAAATATTGTAAAAAGCAGTTTAAAATGTGTGAAATAGGAGTTGACTGGAGTAGTTATGTTACCTGTGGAAAATGTCAAATATGGTTGGTTTTCAGTTAGTAATCAGTTTCAGTGATTTCTTTCATGACGGTAGCTATAATGCAAAAGTTCTGAAATAGTTCAGCAAAGGTTAATCATTTTTTCATACATGAAGAGACATGTACTTATTACATACTTTAATCAAAATATGATACAAAATATCATCATACAAAAATCTGCTGGGATTGGGTTTATCTTAGAATGGAACATTGGCCTTTTACCATTTTGATTAAATTCATGATTCTGAAATGGCATGTGCACAAATCTTAAAATTTGAACATTTTGGTTAAGTTATTTGAATATGGCAAAACACATGAGATCTATTTGCTTAAAAGAGAAGGATGCCTTTATTAAGGAGTACCTGAGAGAAACTGGCTTGTACTCACATTGCAAAAAACTATAAAAGCAGATTTTGCAGTCAGCTTAAATTAAAATGCTTATTGATTCATTCTAGATCAGTTCAGTATTTATTTGAATAATATAAAAATAATGAATGAAAATTATTTTTCTGCAAGTTTAAAGTTTTATTACAAATTATTAAAAAAAGAATCAGAACAGAAGAAGAATGAAAATAAATTTATAAATAATAATTTATAAATGAAAATAAATTTATAATAATAATTTATATTTTGATCATAAATTTATAAATAATAGATAAGTTATTTATGAAAATCATATTTATTGTTTCTTTATTTTTGCAACAGTTGCTCTACTAGCTTCATCAATGAAATTTAACTTATGAACATCTAAAAGTTCTTTTTGCATTTATTTGAATTACTTCAAAATTTTATTTTGAGCACTTTCTGAAAGCATATCATTTGAAATGCAATCACAGACATAAAAGTTTACTTACTGATCTTAAACTAAATACTGAGCTATTTTTTCAGCTGAATAGTATAAAATTATTTTTGAAAAGTAATCTTTATGTAGTACTTTAAAATGTGAGTATTAAAAATTCAGAATTTGAACTGAAAATAAAATAACATGTAGCATTTCCTAAAAGAAGTTTTTGAAGAGTTTTAGAAATAAATTCATACTTGATTAGTGCAGTGGTCTCAAGCTCAAATTGCATGCATACCGATGATGAGGTCTAGGCCTATACTTAAAACCATAAGCGTTCTTAAAATAATATTGTACCACAACAAAATACTACATGAATTAATATGTAATTTTGTTCATACTAACTAAAACTCAATCTGTAAGAAAAAGCTTTTTCTTCCACAGTGACAGAGTGGGAAAGGGGTGGCTATATGCAATATGTAAGAAGTTAAGCAATGTGACTGGTGTAGTTACAATTACGTACATTGTTTTTGTACATGTTTTGATAATAATAGAAATCATTCCAATTACTTTCCCTGTTATTCATTGGCAAATTAAAACTTTTCTTTGACTTGAAAACTTGAATATTTTTCTTATCAACAGTTATTACAGTATTTTGTTCCTTTCTACCACTGCTGACAATTTTTTCTCATATCCATAGGGGCACATATACCACAGGTTGGGAATTGCTGTATTAACTCATAATAAAAATTCCTTGTCATAAAAAGAAAATAAATAAAAAGTTGCTGTCATTCCTTGCATAAAGCATTTCAATCTGCTCATATCTGAAATAGTTTTATCATCTTATAGCTCTCGTTTCTACCTTTTAGCGAGTTGTTCATTCTTCTCTTCAGAAATGTAATTGGTCTTCAGAAATTAATACTCAATTTAGAGCTCACTTAGTTCCTCCCCCCCCCAAATTAAAGGCAATTTTTAGCTCTTCAGGTATTATTTTGAAATGAAGGGAAAACATTTATTAAGAGTGATATATTTTTCAATTTATTTTGAAAAATGAGGTTTCTCTCTCTCTTCTAAAATTTGATATTTCATTAAAAACCCCTTCCTATGTTTTTGAGGGGTTTAGATGCACGTTTTCTATACATATTTTTTCATTCCCTTCATAATAATAAGGAAGGCATTAAGTTTTTATAATGTTCTTAGTTATTTTATAGGAAATGCTAAAACTATTCATTTTACTTAACTTCAATGGGAACTCCAGGGTTCGTACGGTCCTTAAGAGTCCTTAAACTTTTTGGAATCCATTTTGGTCCTTAAAAGTCCTTAATTTTGGCAAAAACCAGCAGAAGGTCCTTAATTTTAATCATCTGAAATTTCTGTCTGTTTTTAATGACTGCAATTTTAAGTGTGAATTAGCATTTTGGAAGAATATTTTTGGCGATTCACTGACATATATGGTTATCTTTTGAATGGCTTTCATGGGTTATAATTTGTTTCTATTTCTAATATAAATGATGGGATACTCGAGTTTCTAAGCAAGAAGTGAAACATAAGCATTTGGAAATTCATTTTTTCTAATAAAGAGCTCTTAAACAAATTTTCGCTTTTGGGGATGTGAATTCTTTTATTAAATGGTTCTAAATTTGGCGATTTGTCAATATTTTGGCGATTTTAAGATCAGTTTCTATAGAAAATTTTTAATTCTGAGATCTGAAAATTTGTCGACGATTTTTTTTTTTTAACATCATAACATTGATAAATTTCATTAAAATAATAGTAACACATTGAAATTATATTTAAAAATAACATTAAAACAAAACATTTTTATTTTTTGCTGTCTTATTATAAAGTTTCATTTTGGCAACTTATACAATATTTTCAATCTGAAAAATACACAAGGCATAATGCTATAAAGCACAATTTACGAAACAGCTTTTAGCAAAAGCAAAATTAGCTATTTAATTAATTAAAATTGTCTTCTTTTTAATATTTTTCAAAGTAAGAGTTTTTCCCATGTAATTGTCTCGGTCAAAGTATTCAAAATTCTCAAAATATGCATGAGTTTTTTCTATAAAATTAATTTTACACTTTTCCCCTCCATTTTTGTTTCCAAAATATGTTTGGCTTTTTATTGTTACAGAATTGGTAGGGATAATTTTTCTTAAGTATTTTAGACATTGCAGCTTGGAAAGTTTAGAAGGATTTGAAGGCAAGATTTATAGACCCACGATTCTAGAAGATTCGAGAAATATGTGACAAAATGAAAAATGCCTCGATGGTATCAACACGTAATCGATGTATTTTGTAGAAAGTTTGGAGAACGTCTGGAAGAACAATGAAAACCTAATATTTGAATGGCTTACTTCTATTTACAAAATGAAAAATATCTTCATGGTATCAACACGCAATGGATGTATTTTACAAAAAGTTTGTGATAAATTTCTTATTTTTTGGATGTCTGGAAGAACAATGAAAACATAATATTTGAATGTTTTACTCCTGATACTAGAATCTTTTTCTTAACACGTTTATCTTCCCTTTATTTTCTCTACTTTTCACTAGACATAAGCATGGAAAATATCAAAAATGCTTCTAATCTTATCATTTGGGCAGGCATTATAGAAAGGGATTTTTTTATTAATAAAGAAATTGAAAACTTACAATTTAAAAGATTCGTCTAATATGTCTTAATGCATCATACACAGAGCAGACACTAGGGATTTTCCACAAATAGAATTCTTTTTCTACTTTTGAATTTAGTATTACTTATTGATGTAACAAAATTTTAAAAATTGAATAATAAATTATCATTTTTAAAGTGCAAAAAATATTACTGTGTATCAAATTTACTTTTAACCTAATTATTGTAATTTAAATCTCAAACTTATTATCAAATGTAATAAAGATATGAATATAATATTTTATATATTTAGAAAGACACTGTCTTTCTAAATATATAAAAAGCAATATCTGTGGATCCTAAATTCTGCTGCCTAGTGCCTTTTTAAATTCTGCTTCCAATGTCTGCTCTAAATTCTAAGAGTTTTGCCATTTCTAGATTTTGTTGTCCCGTGTGTCACTAAATTCTAAACATTCCGCCACACCAGCTTTGTAACCGGCCTTTACCATATATAATTCATATTTTTTTCTGAATATTCATATTACTAAAGAAATAAAATTAGTAACTTTTTCTATATTTTCTAAATGCATTTAGTGTTTTTTAGAATAAGAGAAATCCTTAATTAAATCCCAAAATTCTAAAATGAAAAGGAAACGTGTTGAAGAAAGAAACTGAATACACAAAGAAAATTATTCTTCAAAGATATGTGCAGTTATTATTATGTAAATTACCCAACTGTTTATGATTTCAGTCTTTACTATAATTTCCCATGTCTATTTCCTCAAATGATAGAGTTACTGAGCCAGATTAAATTTAAATTAAATTGTATAATCTTTGACCACTAGTCCACATTTTGAATTTGATTGCTCTTATTTAATTACATCACCGTGAGCTGTAATTGATTTTGTTAGCATTTTTTTATGTTCTAAGTTCTTTTTAAATGAGAGATTCTTTTTAAACCTTTGTCTGATATTGTAATTACTTTCAGACATAGCGATAATTTGCTTCATGTCTGTCTGGGGCTTGGGACTATTTAACTTTTACCAGATCAATTAAACCCTCATAGGTACTTTGTGGAGAGGTTGATAAGTTGGGAGATAAGCCCGCAGAAACTAGCGAGAGCATTGGTTTGCATATTGAGACAAATCTCTCATTGTTAGAAAAGATGTTTAATATAAAGTATCCAAAATGTTTGGGAAGGTTTCAAATTAAAATGACAGATAAACATTTTGATGAGTGTTGTTGTTACAAAACATTAATTTTTTGTAGCTTTTAATGTGTAATTAATCTAATATCGTTTAAGAATCAGTGTCATAAATTACATGTATTTTAAACTGTGCAATTTTATTAGATTTTGATTTTAATAGGGCTTTTTTAACAAATATTGTTAAAAAATAAAATTTAATAGTGGCCATGTAAAGGCATAATGACTAAGGTTGCCTATTTACCTAATTTAATTATTTATAACTAACTACTTACCCTTAAAAATTATCTCTACATATTAAGGCGAGTTATTGCCTTTCATTAATACTCACTGTGGTCACAAGATAAAACACAAAAATGTAGAAATTCAAGTAAAACTTATACTTTGCATCTAGTGAGACTTAAAATAATACAAAACAACTTATCACCTCTGGTTGCTGTAATGGCTTATTGGAACCTGAAAGTATATGAACTAGGTTGCAACCCCTGGAGTTTTACACAAAGCTATGACACTAACTGCATGAAACAGAGCCTGACTAAATTTCAACACTTGCCAACCATGCCTTCACAGGCCTTTCAGGTTTGTTCGAATCAGCATGTCTCTCTGAACAATCAGCAACGGTGACAACATTCAGTATTTTGTTATGAATTATGTTGATTATGATCTTACTTCTCATTTTAACCTATTCCGCTTGACATAAAATCTAATACCTGCTATTTACCAAACTTCTAGACCAAGTATGTGACAAAATGAGATTAAAAAATCAGCATAAAGCTAACTATTAGTAAAACGTAAATGTCACTTATCTTCTTTCAAATATGCACAACTATTATTAAGTGTAAAATAATTAATGCTACTTGATAAATTGCATAAAGTTTATTTAATTCTCAAATTTATTAATAATTATGTTAATTCATGTTTAGTAATAACGCATACTACTTAGGGATCTATTTTATTTTTAGGATGGTATTACAAAAGTGAAATTCAGGCATAGAATAATATTTTTAATTAAATTTATTCAGTTACCATTTGCTCATAGGTCCTTAATTTTTTTCATTAATGGTCCTTAAAAGTACTTAATTTCCGTATGCAGAAATGTGTACGAACCCTGGAACTCTATATGGGCAGGTTTACTGTGCATATAAATATTTTAATGGCTGTGATAAAATAGATCTAAACTGTGATAACCGGTCTGAAAAGTAGTTAATACCTTCAGCATAGATGTACAATGTTTTATGAATGTTCTAATAAGATGTTATAATTTTTAATAGAAATTCTGTTAGTAAAATTTCAATTACATAGCTTGCCAGAATAGTTATTTTTAAAACTAAATGCCATTAGGGTGCATAATTCTGTTTCAAGAACGAACTCTTCAAAACTAAACATAATAAATTAAAATAGACTGAAATTAATTACAGTGAGCCACCTCTGAAAGAGACTAGAAATTCTAAGAACAAATTGATATTGATCAGTTCTTCTCTGAGATCATTCGTTACCATAGAAGACTAAAATCATCTAGAACTGTGGCTATCTGTGTAAAAAGGGATTTACTGTTATTTTAATTTTGACTTACCTTATTAAATAATTTGATATATTATGAGAAAAAAACATACTATATTTGCATTTTTATGTATTTTTAGATATTTCAACAATTTCCTGCCTTCAGAACAATACAAGAGCTGTTAGTAATAGGTATGGATCTAATATGAAACCTAGAAGCCTTGTGCGTCATTCATCATTTCAGGAAATATGTGCTGTAGCAGAGATGGAGCGTAGAAAACTTGGCCTTGATGAAACACCTCTTTCAGCTCCACCATTTGAAAGCAATCTAAAAAATACTGATGAAAGCTCAAACATAACTAGTTTTTCTCTAATAAAATTCGATGATTTAAGGACTGACAATAAAGATGTTGTATATAAACTCCCAGAAATCAAAATAGAGAGAAATCAAGAAAAGGGAACTCGCTCTATATTGAAGCCACTTAAAGTTAAAATGAAGCCTCAGTTCAAAGTTGTGAATCTTCCCAAATCAACCACTCAAAGAAGTGTACCTTATTATATACTGAATACTAGTAAGAGTGACAAATCTGCAAATTGTGCAAGTAAGGAAGATATAATGCATATTTTAATAGAACTTTTATCATTAATGTCAAGATGTGATGTTCCATTGATGCAATTGTTATGCACTATTTTATGTTGTTATATGATCTTTAACAAATGATTTATATGAATACAAAATCAGTTCATTTTTATTTATAGCAAAAGAAAAGTTCCTTATTTAAAATAATTTTTAGTCATTAAAAAAAACACTAATTCTTTTTTAAAGTGTTTAAAAAAGCAAGTGCAATAGATAAAATTCTTTCTCTCACTATATATATATATAAGATAGAGTTAAAATATATGTGATTAATATAAACCTCAAAGCCCGAATTTCAAATTTGTTTTTATTTTTAACCTTTCTGTACAAATTTGATGAATTATTGATTAACAAACTCAGCAATTTAAAAGCAACGTGTTGCCACTTGGCAACTCACTTTAAAATTTGATTTAATAAACTTTGCAATTTTAAGAAAAATGTGTTCCCACTGCCTGATATAAACTATTTTTATCTTCCATATGCCAGTTTGTTGCTATATGACAAAATATAACATATTCAAGAGGGATTGCCATCTCATTTTAAAATATCTTGAAAATTACCATGCAATATAAATGACATAATTTCATATAATTCAGAATATCAGTGTTATATATGAATACACACTATTTTCAATTTCATGAGCAAATCAAAAATTATATAGATATTTTAATTTCTTAATTTGTTTCACTACATCATTTTGATAAAATTTGATATTTCATTAAAAACCCTTCCTATGTGTTTGAGGGGTTTAGATGCACATTCTCTTCTCTCTCTCTCTCTCTCTGTATATATATATATATATATATATATATTTCATTCCCTTCTTAATAATAAGGAAGGCATTAAGTTTTTATAATGTTCTTAGTTATTTTATAGGAAATGCCTAAAACTATTCATTTTACTTAACTTGATAACTGGCTAAATATTTTAATGGCTGTGATAAAACGGATCTAAACTGTGATGGTCTGAAAAGTACTTAATACCTTAACAAAGCATAGGATGTAAAATCTGTTTTACGAATGTTCTAATAAGATGTTATAATTTTTAATAGAAATTCTGCAAGTAAATTTTCAATTACATAGCTTGCCAGAATAGTTATTAAAATTTATTAAGTATTTATTAATTAATTTTAATTTCTTAAAAATTTAATTTGTTTCACTACATCATTTCACACAGTTGCCTATTACTTTTATCTCAACATAAAAAAAAAGTGAAGTTATCTTTCATTTGTGAGAGGGGATTAGTTTCTGAGAAATGCTATGTGTGTGTGTAATAATGTAGAAAAATTGAGTGCATAGGTGTTTATCTATAATGAAGAACAAACGTGACAGTAATGTATTCAGGATGGAATCTTAATTCAGAATGGGTTAGTTTTGGTACATTTTGATTGGATGATTAATAAAGCTCTAAAATTATTATTAGCAATTTTTAGTTCTCAAAACCTTTGTGTTACCAGCACAATAAAAAGAAGTCATATGATAGGATTAATATGGAAATGAAGTAGCTCAGAAAAGTTTATTATAAGCAATTTAGAATAGAAAGGAACACTGATAATTCAAATTAAAATTTCAGGGAATATTGCAAATTTATTTCAGAATTTTGCTTTATATCTTTTTCATCTTGCATATATATTGTAATAAGTGAAATTTTGGCATATCGGCAAGATGTTTTGAAGTAGGCAATGACTTTTTACTTTTTAAGTATTGGATTCGAACTTGATGTATGCATATTAATAGAGGTTGTAAATGAGAAACTGCTAGATGCAAGATAATGGTTCATAGACTATAAAGAATTTTGGTAAGCTGTCCAGTTATTTAAAAATTATCCCTGTTATAGCAGAGATCGCCAAACTGTCGATCATGACCTACTAGTAGCTCATGAGGACATTTTCGGTAGATCTTGTTAACTATCTTTGGTTGCTTAACCTTGATTCCTCCACTGAGCTGATACTGACAAGAAGACACTGCTACAGCGGAGTTAGAACTGATGGATTTTCAAAATGATTTATCTGTAAAATCACTTTCTTTAAGCTATGAAAATACTTGGCCTCTTGTTCCCTAAGAAAAATATCCAATTTGATCTTGATTTGTGTCAAAGTGAATGCAATGTATTTTATGCAAATATTTTAGTCAAAATCTGGAAAAGTCAGGGAAGTCAGGGATATGGCAATTCCCCCTCCCCCCAAAGAGTGATTTTTTTTTTTCATTCTAATGTTGGAAGTGATCACTTTCTTGGCGAATTATGTATTGCATAAGCATCACTGGGGCAGCTGGCATAGAGCCAATTTTCGAAGCTCAAATCAGATTCAAGGCCCACCAGCGGCCGAGCGGTAAAGTCGCTGAACACTGGTAGTTCGGTCCGAGGTTCGAATCCCACGAACGGGCTGGCTGCATGGGTGTTTTCGTGGTTTTCCCCATGTGTAACGTGTATACGAGCCAGTTTCCCTTAGAAAGTCCTCCATGAAGGCATCCCCCCCCTTAGGCAGATAGCCCCCATGTGCTTTTCCATAATTAAATACACCAAGTATATACAAATCAGATTCTTTTAGAAAGGCAAAGCAAGTGCATGCTGAACAAAAGAAAATACCTTCCCATTCTTGTATAAAACAAAATCAGTTTAATCCGAGTATACAGTACACATGGAATTTGGTGACATTATGATGAACTGTAAACCAGATATTTATGAAGAGCATTAAAAGGGTCATTTTGGTGTAGGCAACAGTTTGCAAAATCGTGCCAAGGCCGTACTGTGTACTAGGATTTTATCACAAAATCTTTAAAATATTACTAAATAGATTACTTTCTTTCGTTTAGCTGCATTTTTTAATCCAGATTAGGCTGATTCTAATCTCAATCTTCAGTGGAGAAAATAACTCCTAGTAATGTTTTGGAGATTATATGTAATTGGTAAACTTGTGTTTTAAAGTGGTACCATAATTAGACTGAAATTTTCTTAAAACACACCTGAAAAACATGGAAATGTTGGGGAATTTCATTCTTCTGTTTGAGTGGCAACCCTAGTTCAAGATTTCTTACAAATAACTCGGTCATAAAAACAAATAATTGAGAAAATAGGTATTTATGTATTTTTTCATTGGCCATGAAAGTTGATAAAAATGTTGCCAGACTTGTAATTATTTCAACAGAAGTTTGAACAAAGAGGTCACTCTTTATATATATATATATGTGTGTGTGTGTGTGTGTGTGTGTGTTATTGGCAAAGTATGAAATCCAGCATTCTATAGAATGCCAGATGACAAACCAGCAAAGTAATGAAATAAATCTTTTAAATAATAGCCATATCATAACCTTTTTTTTCATACTTTACTTAAACAGCATTTGTCATACTATAAAATGTATATAATAATTCTCATATTTCTTACTTTAACTAAAATTGGCAGGCATTCTTTAGAATGCTGGTGTTTCATACTTTGCCGGTAATATACATACATACAATAATAGATACAAGTTACAGATACATCATTAAAAAATCTTGACTAAATATAAGCTCAGTTTTGTGCCAGTTGTTTCACAGAAAGCTTGGAAAGAATAGATATTCTTTATTTAATTTAATAATCAGCAGATAAAGTGGATTAATGTGTGTTATGTGAAACCAACAAGAAAACTTATGAGTGTGTCTTGACATCATGTTTTTCCATCATTAACACCAAATCACACATTTTTAAAGACTGGTTTCATTTCCTGAAAACAGGCAATTGGAAAATATGCAAGAATAAAAAAATATCAGCAAGCAAAATTAACTGAAAAATATTTTTGTTTTACTTAATGTGCATTAATAAATCATCTCTATCTGTATCTGGCAGAAATTTTTCTACCAATTCTCAAAAGTCTTTGCATCAGTCAAGTGTTTATATTATAAATGGCACTGTTTTCCCATTTCATCATTAACATCACAGTCATCCACCTCGTAAAATCTTCATTACTGATGCAACTTTTTTTTAGTAATCAAACAATCACTTATAGCTGTTGAGGTCTGGCATTCAATTTCAATTACAATTACAATTATTTTAAGCCAGATAAAAAAATAATTTGAACTATGGAAATCTATTACAGCTTTTGGCAATAGTGTTTTGAATAGTATTCTGAAAAATTAGGACTGTTAAAAGGCTATAGTATTTCAGTCATTGTGTGTATCTTTAAAATAAAATCTACATCAGTTATTGCTGTTTTTCTTGCACTGATATATATAAATACATATATATTTAGTGCAATACAATAATATACAACTATATAAGTTGAATTTATAGGGTGATTTTAAATCTGGCTTATTGCAAATTTCGGCTAAACTTTTATAGCAAAGTCTTACCTCTTGGCTATGCACAGATCAGTTTATATGTGAAAATATACAGTAATTCTCTGAATATTTTTTGTGCATTTTATCTTTAAAGATGCAAAAATAAATCCTGAACCAAAATTAATGAATAAAAATGTTTTGTCCTAAAATATTTCTAGTAATTAATAAAAGGTTACCACTTAATATGATTTTTATATTATCTATATAAACCAAGAACAACTTGAGGATTTCAAATGTTACATGTATTCTTCAAGATTGCCTTAAATAAAAATCCATTTTAATAATAATGCTTTCTAATGATAAAAAATCATAATGTTTTTTAGATGTTCCCAATGTACTTGTTTTGAAATCTCCAGTTCACTCTCCACAAACTAAACAAGCAGCAGTGGACAAAAAGCCGGTTAGCAATGTAAGTCTATAACGTTTTGTTTAAAAAAAAATATTGAATGCAGCTAAATTATTTTTTGTTCTGTATTTTCATAAATTTCAAATGTTTCAAAATAAATATGTCTATTTTAAATGTTTTTCTTCCTGCAGGAGTGTCTTCAAACCTTGGAAATTTCCTCTGAACAACGTGATGCTATTTTGAAGTCACTAAATTTAACACTTTCAGATGGACAAATAGCTGCTATACAACTTGAAGGTAGATCCATTCAACCGAATTCCAATAAAAATAGTTCATGTAATGTGGTAAAGATCATTCATAAAAATGTAGATAGTCTAAATGAGAATGAAGACTGCAGAAAAAATAGTGCTTCAATGAATGATGCTGTGCAAACTGATACAGAACAAAGTGGAAGTCTTAGCATTTGCAGTACAAGAACTAATAGTCCAAGTAGAATGGAATCACCTTTAAGCATTCCTAGCAGTTATCCAACTCCTGTGCCTCCTAACATACCAGACATCACCTTTCCCTCAAACACAGATGTTGATTATTTTCTACAGAAAATAGAAAGCTATAATGAATCAGTACATTTAGAGAATAAGTCAAATGAATTAAACTATCCTACATATAAAAATGAATTTGAAGTTAAAACAAAAGGGCCAAAAGAAAATTCTTCTGAATGTTTAAAAACCAAAGAAGTCAAAAATATTCATCCACGGATCAGCTCAGTTGACAGTGGCAGTAACGACAGCTTAAATGCAGAAGTTTCAAATATTTTAAAAGGAAAACAACTAGGAGATAATGCTTCAAAAAATGAAGTTTTTCTCATAGATGAAAAGACATTACTTAGCCCCATCAAGAAACCACAAGCAATACTTCCAAATATTTCATCTTTGGTAACATCTCCTTACTATTTTCCTGGGACTGTTTTTGTATTAAATACAACTCCAGTAAATTCGCCTAATGGTAGCTTTTCTTTCACATATCCTATTTCTACGAAAACAGAAAGCCCTGTAAATAACGAAAAGAAATTATCTTTAATTAAGTAATTTATTCATTTTACATAAATTATTACATTATATAGTATTGTATAGCTTTTCCTGTATTATAATTACCGTATTTGACGGCATATAATACGCACCCTTATTTAGACGGCCACACACAAGGGAAAAAAGTTTCAATAGCGTGGTTTCTTTTAGTTCTCACATTTCGTAAAAGCCAAATAAACAATTATTGAATGCAATTAACTTCACGTATAAGACCGTCCTTCACATATAAGACGCAGGTAACTTTTTTAAGACCAAATTTATTAGAAAAAGTGCGTCTTATGTGCCGTCAAATACGGTATATGTAAATTTTCTAAGTGTATGTTTAGGATGAATGTACAGTTTTTTATAATACTGAAATGAAAGATATATGAATTATCTTGAAAATTTGTTTAGAAAAAAAGTTATTTATGTTTTCATTCACATATTACTTTAAGCTATTATAGAAAAGAAGAATTATTGAAAGATTTTTTAGAAAAATGTTGACTATCAGACCTAAACGTATTATATTTTGCTTATTTGTAGGATTAATTGTAAAAGAACTAGTAATCTGATTCTAAACATTCATAATAAAAATACTGCAATTCATATCATGCACAGTAACAATACCTGACACAATAATAATTACATTTCATGCTTTCTAAGAGCATAATTACTTCTTGGGTTTCCATTAACTTTTTAGAAACATTTTACATTCATTGAGTGTAAGTTTTGATTAGGAATTTGTGTAACAAAATTTGTTTTGAATATTCAGTGAAGATGTATATATATAAAGCAAAGAAAATGTTTTATCCATCATAGCTAGTACCATTTTGCTGTTTGAGCTTTAAGCTTGTCAACAATGAAGGATAAAAAGTTTCTTAGTTTACTTTCTGTATCACTTATATATAGCAGTATCTGCACAATTAGTAGAATCTATTTCTCTGGCTGGAATTTGTAGCAATATTACTTATACTATGAATGATCATTAAATATATATAAAGTAAATTGTAAAAAAAAAACTTCATGACTGGCATGCTTAGAAGAGAAAGGGCAGAATATAAAACCATTTATGTATAATGTGAATGCAATTTATTGCATTTCAAAATAGAAAATTCAAAGAAAAAAGGAAGAGGATTAATCATATTGTTTTTTTCTCTCTAAGTGAGCAAACCGCAATTTGATTATTTCCTAATTTTATTATTTGCTTTATCACATTATTTATGGCAGCATTTAGCATAATTTTTTTTTTTTTTTTTTTTTTTTTTTTTTTTTTTTTTTTTTCTATTATATATAAAGGATATAACAGAATTGATGGCTGTAGGTTTAGGAGGTGACAGAACATGGCAAAATTCACAATTTTCACAGTAGAGTGCGAGTATAGAAACACAGTATATACAAAAAATATAGAAACACAGTATATACAAAAAATATGGAGAAAGAAAAATCTTTTCAATCACCAATTTTTATAAAAAATAATACTTAATATTTGCAAGAATTGTTCAGACGGATAAAAACTAACAGTAATATATGCATCACAGTGCCTTTATAGTACTTTGAAAAATGCCTCGTATGTCAAGAGTTGATGTTGCGGTGCATATATTGCAATTGCTGCTAATTCCTTTCAAATATCTGTGATTAAAATGACTTTTTATTCTCTATGTTCTTCATATTAATCGTTTCTGCATTCATATTCCATTGTGAAAATTGTTACTTTAGTTATATTTTGTAACCTCTTAAAGCATATTTATAGCATTGATCTTGTATTTCTGGTAATATATTCACATTTATTAAGTTTTTCTGCTTTAAAAGCAAAAATTTATATTTTATGAGATTTGACAGTTTCATAGTATATTGCATTATTATCCTTTAGCAAAAATTTGCTTTTGGGCTAATTTAGAATGCCAAAAAATTATTAAAGTGGGGGAAAATTGTAATTAATGTAGCTGAGATATTATGTCATTTACAATAAGAAAATTATTGTAAATGGCTATGATCACTGCTAGGACTGAAGAATAATTAAACATGAACTTCACTACGCTAGTGACATTTTAAGTATATCCCTCCTTTAAAAAAGTGGCAGCAGTGCTTCCTTATAAATTAGTATGTCATGTTTTACATTACATTTTCGTGAAAAATGTACCTTGCACATTGGAAAAATATACAATATATTGATAGTAGCAGTAAATATAAACCTTCCAGTTTGAGTTGCACTAATAATTAACAGCAGCTAAACTTTGGGTTCCTCATTAGCTTTTTAGATACCTCTCACTTTTTTAGTTATACAAATTTCTAACCATAATAATAACTTATAATAAATGTACAGATATTGCAAATAATAAATGAATACACACATGCTATTAATATTTCCTAATATGAAAGCACTTGAGTCCCTTTCATTTCACTCTCTATATTAAGCTGTTAAAAAATTTACAATTATACAAATACACAAGTTTTTTCGTTAACATTTTATATTTATACCTAAATAAATAATTGAATCTGATTCAACAAATTAAAGTGTTTTGAGCCAAACAAATGCAAACTAGCTGAATCCTACTGCTGAATATTTTGCAGTATGGCATTTTGATTCCATCTGCTCTAAATTTACTCAATGTTGATTCTCAAATTTAAAATACGTGTACCCGCTACAACTAATTGCCATATTATATTAGCTTTAATTCATAATATGTAGATTTATGTATTACACCATTTAATTTACAATCTTTGTTTTTTAAGAGAATTTTTATATTTTTATAGAATCCTTAAAAATTTGAAAATGGTAGAGAGATTGTTATATTTTAAGACATGAATGAATAAATGTAATTTAATAATCATTTATTTTAGATGTAATTCATTTTTAGGCATTTGCAGTGTTCTATAAATATGTAACTTTATTTGCTATTTATTAAGCATACGTTCTCCGGTTTATTCGCTTTATGTAAGCTGTATAGCATATTTGGCTTTGCAAAGAAAAAAAATATATTAAAAGATGAAAGAAAAATATATAAAAAGATGGTTAATCATAAGAACTTATACATGTTTTCAGACAGATCATTTTTTAATTTGTTGTAAAATTTATATATTTATCAATGTGATTATTACTTGGTGTTTGATATGCCTCATTAAAACCTATTATTACCTTCATGTTGCATTTCATTAGAACTCTCAACACTATACAATTTTAACTTTTCATCATGAAAATTTTACTTTATCAGAACTTTATCTGATCAATCGTTACAAGTAATAAAATATTCATGTTTAAATAGTAACCAATAATCAAAAATCTCTTTAAAAAAAAAAGAACTATTGTAAAAGGGGAAAATAAATAATGACTCTTCTAATAGCGCTCATAAAGGGAATGATTTACTAACAACTCTTTAACCTATTCTTAAAAATATTTTTTCCTAAAAAATCTTATGAAAATTATAATAAAAGTCTTATTTGTTTACAATATATATTACTGTTTTTATAATGACATGAATTCGATTTTGTAATAATTAATTCAATCTTATTCTCATCTGTTCTGTCTGAATAAATACGTTCAAGATTCTATTTTTATTTCTGTTATGAACTGAAATTCAATTTTAAAATCCATCCACACTCACAGATGTAAACATAAATGTCTTAAAAAGCAAAAAAAGTACACAACACATATGCATATTACCAAACAGTTATTGTAGACATACAAATAAAATTAAATATGAATGTAATGAAAATATTTAAGCTGAAGCAATAGTGCTATATGTGAATAAAATATAAATATAATAGCAATATGAAATGAGGAAAAAATCAATTTCTCCACCATGGAAGAAACTTGGAACTGCTTAGAGTACACCATTTCCAGAATCTTGTGTTATCATGATGCCTTTTGCAAAACGCCAAATCTTGTAAGGAAAGTGTCATTTCTGAATGTCATATGAGCTATGTAAAGCAGCTGAAATAATGGTTCATCATGGATTAGAACAAATTTTCTCTTTTGAATTTATGCCTTAAAAAACAGCAGCGACACAATAGCCAAAAAAGTTTTATTACATTACAATGTTCTTACTATGATGTAGTTTAGATTCTGTACCTTAAATTTTTGTTTTCTAGTCTTTCTAAATAATTATTTTTATTATAGATATGAACTAAAATTCAATTTCAGAATCTGTAAATTTACTGATGCGAAACGATCTCGTAGTAAATGAAGAAAAATGCATTTTGATACATACTGTCATACCACAAAAGTCTTTACCTGCCCTTTATTTCCATAACTCCACTGGTTATAGACATACATTTCCAATTACAAAAAAACTTTTTAATTTAAAACATTAAATTTGCAAAAATTACAAAATTCATACATTCCCCTCATTTGCTACACTTATATTTTAGGGAAACTTTCCACTAGTAATAAAAAATAAAATGCAGAAAGTTTGACTCAGAACAGGTGATCGAGTTATGTGATATTAATGTTGCAGATCATATTCAGGGGCCATACACAAATCAATGTGCAACATCTTTGAATCTATACATAACTATGAATAAAATATAAAAAGAGAAAAGCTTTCTGCTCTTAATAAATAAAGATTATTGTGAAAAGTATTCATCAAAGTAAATTTTTTCAAAATGAAAATCTTATTCACAGAATCTTGAAGAACTTGCATTGTAGAAAACACTAGTAGGCTTCCATATTAGTCAGAAAATTTTTTGGATAAAAATAAAGGATTTAATTTTAAATTTGGAAAGAATTAGAACTATCCTTTTTAGCTCATTCTGGGGTAATTTGTATAAAACTTTAACATTTACCACTATGAGTAATACCAACAAGAATATTCCTAATAACGATATTAAATATGCATTATCCTAAAGTAACTATAATTCTTTAAAATAGGAACTAAGTTACATAAAATCGGAAATAACTAAAGATTGTAGAAAATAATCGTAATCCAGATTTATTTTGCCTCTAGTGGCTCAGTTATAAATTACTGAAAGCTGGTAATCTGATCCCCAGCTCATTATGATGAATGGGAAGGTGGCTGCATGAGCTTTTGCAGATAGTAGTAAACTTTAAAATTATTTTTCTTCTGATTTTTGGCAGAATTATAAAAAATGCATTGCTTTGTATTTTTGGGGCAAATTTGAATAACTTTGTTCAAAATTAAAATATATTGTTATAAATAATACATTTCTCACCCAAATGCCTATATCATTTGTTTCTTCATGCAGTTGATATGACATAAAAAATTCTTCCACAATATGCTGATATTGCAGAAATTGAAAATAAATAAGCTATTTTTAAAATATTCATACATTTATAATTAGCACATTTTAAAACCATGTGGCATTTGCTGCTTGATGTTGTGGATCTGGTAGCATATTCAGAATTTTGAACAGACATAATGTTTTTTTTTTTTTGAATGAAATGTTATTACATCAAAAGTTCATCCATATTCAAATCTCAAATTTCTTTTAGCTTTGAATTTTCAATAACATCAACAAAGTTCTGGTATGTTAGAAATAAATTATTTAATAGGACTTGGAATTGGCAATTTGCCAAGTGTAGTATTTTTGTCAAACTCTTTTAAATAAGTAATTACTAACGAAAGGAATAATTTAGTCATCAATAATCTTTTGTTATTCTGCTTAATCTAATTTTATCAAATGTTGATGAACTTGAAAGACAAAATGTTCCTTATCATATTGAGATTTAAACTTATTTGAGAACTAAGAAAAAATATGACAACCTTTTGCTGGGTTGCAATGTCAAGAGAACTACATCACCAAGTGCAGATCGTAGCCAATTCTCTTGTTGGTTGTAAAAAGAGCAGAAATTCGGATTCCTCTTGTGCTGAAAGTTTAAATTATAATGCCAAATGTCATCATTCAGCTGCAACAGATTTTTAATTTTGAAATAAAGGGTATTTGGCTTTTTTCTAAATTAAAAAAAGGCCAAGGGCAGAAAAGCTGATAAAAAGATGGTTGTCAGTCCTACTCTCAGTCTTCTGAGTGGTACAATCATCTTTATCCAGTTATGAAAATTTTTGATACTTAGTAATAGTTTAAATTACTTTAGTTTTTTTTAATAATATGTCATCTTAAAGAATGGAAGTTTACGAAAACAGGCACTAAAATACGTAATTATACAAATTTAAGTCGTAGAAGTTATTTAAATACAGTTCCTCATGAGTACATCCAAAAAGCTATGCCATTTAGAGGTTTAATAAAATGATAAGCACATGTTTGAATCCCAATGCATGGGTCTTTTCCACTTGTGTAACATAAATACAAGTCAATTTCCCTTACAATGTTTACCATGAGGGCATCTCTTTCTTTAAGCAAATGGCCTTTGTTTATTTTGTGGTATTAAATTAAAATTCCCATATATACAAGATTCAGGATTGACGCTAGGTATTTTGTGGTTCGGTTCAATCTTTCTGCAGGTCTGAAATTCTGGTGGCAAGCAAGCACCTCCCTAACTTCTAAAAATTTTGCTGCCTGGTACAGGCACAACAGCTCTGGCACCAACCCTGCTAAAAAATCAGTTAGTCTCAGTTTTAACAGCACTAATATAATCTTTTGGCCTACAAGTATCATTTACAAAATCTATTTTTTGCATATGGAATGAAATTTTTGTTAAATTTATCTTCATCAACACTTTGCAGCGGAGTTAGCTGAAGTATGTAATCATTGCCAAGCATAATGTCAACAAAAAAGGTTACTATGCTCTTTTATATTCAACTACTAATATTTAAAAAAAAGTGTTTAGATATCACTATCTCATACTGCAGTATGTTAATAGTCATGCAATGATGAAAGTAAAAAATAATAATGATTCACCAGGTTGGTGTCAGTGCCAAAGTGGAATTACAAAACAGAACTCTACACATTTTATTATGAAAAAATATCAAATTTGTGCAAGGAATAAAAAATTTCATAAAAATAAAAAAGTTGCTGGTGATCCAGATGTCTGGATTTTAGATCGTTCTAGCAATACTGGACATCTGGATTTAGGAATTTGTATTATATATTGACTTGATTTGAACAGAACCAAAAAATAATCAAAGTGGTTGTCAAGAATCAATTGATAGAATAACTAATTTTTCAGAGTAGAAATGATAGTTATTTTAATCTTACAAACTAAACACCCATACAAAAAATTATATGAGATATCGGTACTCTTCTATTATCAGGACTGAATTCTGAAATGTACGTATATATGTGCATACATGAACATGTACATACATACACACATTTCTTATAACAGAAGACTAATATTAGCCGAGTTGAATCATACTGGAATTCGGATCAAAAATACTTTTAATATTTCCAGTTACTGTAGAACTTCAGCAGATTAAAAATAAAATATACATAAAATCTTCATTCGGTTAAGAAAAACTTTCAAATATGGGCTATTCTCTCTAGAGAACCTAAATCTAGTTAATTATGTAAAAAAATTATTGATGATTTTGCTTTTGTCAAAAGCATGAAAAAATAATTATAAAAAATGAACATCTGAGCATTTTTTTTTTCATATCAATTACATTTCTATTTATAGTATTTCAATGTTATTTGATATTTACAAATTTTTTTTTTTTTTTTAATGCTTCCATTCACAAAATATAAATCATTACTTGCATTATTTTTTTGAACATATAAAGTTACGGCATTATGCCTTAAATTGTTATCTTTGATGAAGTATACAGACATAGTTAATTTGATTTTATATTGGAAAGTACCTCAGATTAAAAAATAAGTAATTATATATTATACTATCAAACCATTTAAGTTTATGGAAATTCCTCCAAAGTTCCAATGGAATTCTGGAAAAAATATGTGTCTTTATTTAATAAACAGTTGGTATTTGATTGCTTTCTTTTTGAGCTTCCTAAAAAGGCTTTTACCTATTTCTACTATTTTGTTAAGGTTTCCAATTTTACCAGAAGTTCCATTTAGAATGCTGTTAGTACAAACTTTCCACAGGTAAAAATGCCAGACTATATTCAGTTGACTATATCATCCCTATTAATTTACACTATATATTTTTTTCATGTTAGGATCCCATAACTTTGAAAAGAAACTATCGCTTGTTGGTTTGTAAAAGGCAAGCCCCAAATTTTATTTTTCAAAATAAAGAAATAATACAACTTAGAAAATGATCCATTGCTTGCTGTTTCATAAAAGGCAGGTTTCAAATTTTAATTTTTTTTTTTTTTCAATATGCAAGGAAAAAATACGACAATAACATTTAATTTATATCCTTGTTCATAAAAAAGTGATTTATCAAGAATCAACTGGACTACATCAAGTGAAAGCACAGATGTTATGAGCCTTTTGTTATGTTATGCTTATTCCCAACTGTCATTAAATCGCACTGCTTGCCAATTTTCAAGGTCAACGGGATAATGCACAAGTACCATAAAATAATCTGGTGCTACACTATACCTTGCTTTCCTGTAACACAATCAATTTCTTTATGTTCTAAATTTTATTCTGCCAAAGTATAAATTTTAGGTGCTTCTACTGCAAGAGACAAAAATATGACAGTCAAAAATCGTTAATCCGGACCTCAAAGCTATTTCTGAGCATGCGTCAACGCATAATGCGTTCACACATGCGCATAATACGTCTATGCATGCGCAATTAATGTATAAGGGACGGTATAAGCTAAGCTAAAATTATCCAATTATCAATTTCAGTTAATGTTGCAGATTGTGTTGTTCCTTAATCTTCGAATTGGATCTGGCTTATTATTTTTTGCAGGCTGTTAGAGCAATTTTATAAAAGTAAGCTTGAACTTTTGATTGTGTCAAATAGAATTTCCGATGCTGGAGCTGCCAAAGATCTACAAAGAGAAAGGGCTGATCTTTGGAATATGGTAACTGGTAGTTTGGCGACATTTTGGAGGCGATAAAGGTTACTACCTAGGACTTTGGTAATAATGTGAGAAGCACTCAGTTCCGATGAGCATTATTTTGTGGTGAGGGAAATGAGAGACATGAGATATGTCATGTGACATAATAGACGAATTACAGTTTTTAATCGGAAAAGGGGGGAAATTGGAATTTCGTATTAGTATATTCTGTTGTGTGAAACGTGACATTAAGGGACGAATTTAGTTCTTTAATCGGAAAAGGGGTTAATTTGGAAAAGCTTCATTGTGTGTTGTGTGAAATAGTGTTACTTTTCGGATTGCTGGCGCTATGTAAAGTGAAGTCTAATTTTAATGGTTTTTTTCAACTTATTATTATGATAATAATAATAAGTTGAGATTGTGTTGAAAGAAGGGATACAGTCCAAAAGGCGTTAATCCAGACTGTCAGGGACTGGCGATTCCGGATTATAGATCATCAGTTTAAATCTGGTAAGATGACATGCAGAATACAAATTAAAAATATAAAAAACCGTAATTTATAAATAAAGAACAATTATGATCTAATAGGTATCAAAATTTACAAAAAAAAGCTTATATTTGTTTACTTTATAAACATTTCTTTCAATGTAATTTGTTTAAGTTGCTTCCTTTCATGTGATAATACTTTCTCTTAATTCTATTAAACAGATACAATTTTCTTGTTTGGTACAAAGTTATGCTGTTCAAGTCCTATATTGCTTTAAATCTATCAAAGACGGAGTACATGACATGAATACTACATTTAGTAGGAATTATAAGCCAATAAAATAAAACATCTGCGTGAGATAAGGATAGTGCTGACAGATCAACTTCCAATTCATTACCGCCCGTGCCCCCCCCCCCCGAGAGCAGCATGAAATGATAAACACAGATTCGGATTCGAAACATACTTTCGCTTGTAAATCCTTACATATTAGTAAATATATATCGAAATTCTATTTGACATAATCGAATTCAAGCTTACTTTTATAAAGATGCTTAACAGTCTGCAAAAAATAAAGCCGGATCCAATTCGAAGATTAAGGAACAATGCAACTGCAACATTAACTGAATTAGATATTTAGCTTAGCTTATACCACCGTTATATTAATATTAACGCACATGTGCACACACATATTTGCAGCCTAAAGGTCTTAACACGCCCGCGTAAACGCCTATGCGCGTGCGTCAAAGCGACGCATGCGCAGAAAGTTTGTAGCTTGAGGTTGGATTATAGATCATTCCGGATATCGGAGTCCGAATAACGACTTTAACTGTATTAAGTTAAGTTTAAATGGGGTGCAAGAATATGATGAATGGACATTTTGGAAAAAGAGTGTAAGGAAGGTACTGGTTTCTGAAAGTAGTTTGAGTGTAGGTGAAATTTTATTAATTTCTTTTTACTTGGTGAATAGACTTCCAGTTGACTACTGGATTTAGGATTTAGAAATTAGCAGTAGTACTGCAGCCACGTAATGAAAATTCTTGTAGTTTGAGTATAGGTGAAATTTTATTAATTTCTTTTTACTTGGTGAATAGACTTCCAGTTGACTACTGGATTTAGGATTTAGTAATTAGCAGTAGTACTGCAGCCACGTAATGAAAATTCGGAAGAAGATTAGGTAAGTTAGTATTTTTAATCATTTTTTATATTTTTTATTTTTGTTCATAATGTAAAGAGGAGTAAATAAATTAATGTTCATTGGAAATTTTATTTGCAATGATTTAGTTTTAATAATTAGGATTGTAATCTAATTTATTATTTAATATTATTTTATCATGTTAAGTAGTGTTTTTTAATTTAATGATTGTGATTTCGTGAGTCATATATTTGTAGTATTTTGGAATACGTTTGAGTAGTATACTTGATTATTTTCATTCATTTTTCGTGAAATTTTATAATTTATGAGAAAAAGCCAGTGTACATGAATATATGAAGAGTGTGCGCAATGCCATTTTTTGTGGAATTCTGGATGTTTTTTTAAGTAAAAAAAAGTCGACGTGTACATGGTTTTAGAGTGAAATTTTAATTAAATGATAGTTATTTTGTGAATTTTATGTTGTAGGAATTTGTATACGTTTCAGTTGAAGTAAACGGTATGGAAATATTTTAAATATTTGACACTAAGTATTTGTAAACTATTTTTAATGTTTGCCGTATAAATTCGTTAGTTGACATTTATAATAGATAATTTAGAGGTAAAGCTTTTGGATATTTTTTATTTTATATGTGGAAATGTTCATCCTTGGAAGGGTATGTACTTTTTTTCGCGATCAGGTAATTTCATATTGTGCTTTTATCAGTTTAAAGATTCAAAAAATTTTCCTGCAAATTTTTGTAATTTATGAAAAAGCAGTGTAGATGGATAAAGTTAAGAGTTGTGTGCAATGCCATTTTGTGCAATTCTGAGATGTTTTTTTTAAGTAAAAATAAGTCGACGTGTAAATGGTTTATGTGTATGTGCTAGTCTGAAAACGCGCAAGGAGTTTTGCGATTCTGCACTTTTTTCCCCAATTTTGCAGTTAATATTGTCATGATTAAGCAGGTTTTTGTTACATAAAAATTTCTAGCATCAGGTGTAATTCGGCTAGTAGATTGTGCAAAAAGTGTGATTAAATAAAAAGAAAAGAAACATGTCTTTGCTTTGTGAAGACAAAATGGCGGCGAAAAAAAAATAGAGGGTTGCTGTAGCAGAGTTGGTCGCCAAAAAATCGCCAAGTTACCATAATCCAAAGATCAACCAGAGAAAGTATGTTTCGATGTCCATCAAACAAAAAGTGGAATTGCTGCAAAAAATGGATAAAGGCATATCCTTTGTTTCTCTAAACATTCTGAAATATGTTTATCAATTTCACGCTGCTCTGCGGGGGGTTGGGGGTGCGTCGCAGCACGCAATGAATTCAAAGTTGATCTGTAAGCAGTATCCTTATCTTCAGGGCATATGTTTTTATTTCATTTGGCTTATAATTCCTTACTTAGTGTAGTATTTCATCTCGATGCACTCCGTCTTTGATATGATTTAAATCAAATTCCTCGTCATTATAATTTGCTTCCGATAGTGAAGAAAGTGACACAGAAGTTATTGAAAACGAAAAAATTTCGATTGACAAATAGTTGGTTTCTTCTCGACAAAGCATTAGGACTTGAACAGCGGAACTTTGTAACTGAAAAGAAATTATGTTGTTTATAGAATTAAGGAGAAGTATTATCACATAAAACGAAGCAACTCAAACAACTTACATTGAAAGAAATGTTTAAATAAAGTAACCAATAAATATTAAGCTTTTTTTTTTTTTTTTTTTGTTTTTTTTTTGTAAATTTTGATACCCTTTAGATCATAATTGTTCTTTATTTCATAAATTACGGTTTCATATTTTTAATTTTATAATTTCTACATGCCATCTTACCAGATTTAAACTGATGATCTATAATCCGGAATCACCGAAGTCCCGACAAGTCCGGATTAAAGACTTTTGACTGCATATACTTTGAAAAACATTTCACATCTCTCTTGAATTTATTTCAGAAGCTAAACTATATCATTATGAAAATAATAAATAGTCATATTTTCTTACAATTTTTTATTTTTAATTGCAATTTACAAACATGCATACAAAATGTTTCATTTCTTTAAATATTTGATTTCAGTAATTATGTAATTTTTTACTTCTACTGCAGTTTAATATTCTGTTTCAGTGACAACGACTTAGTTTTTTTTAATGTTTCAAATATAGCATTAACAGATTACTCTGAATTTAAGCTATCTGCTTAGCTTGTCGTAAAATAAAACAGAAAATTATAAATAGATATATATTTTGAGTGAAATTTCAAATAAAATTATTATTTTATTTGAAATTTATTATTTGAGGTATTTATTAAAATGACATTTTTGATAATCATACACTTCATACAAACGAAATTTTTATTTGGAATGGTATACAAATAAGTACAGTATTTTACACAACACTACCAGTTTTACTAATACTACAAAAAAACTGAATAAATTAATATTTTATCTTTATGTATTTTAAATACATAGAACCCTTTCCACAATCAGCCACTCTTCCAGATAATTTAGATTGTCTGTGGAAATGGTCATATTCATAAAGTTAAATACAATTATATATCGGTAAGTTATGTTAAGTAGCATTTACTTTCATACCATATCTGATTAATTACTGAATATTTTGCATGCACAATGAAATTAATTTTGATGAATTCAATATATAATTAAAAATGGTACTTCCTAATTATCTGTATACCCACCAAAAAGTTTTGATGATAACAACGCACCATACCTCAAAGAAGTATTTATATAGCAACCAAGGCATTTGTGTAGCATACATGTATTCAAGCAAAGTGGATCTGCACTTTTAAAATTGAATGGTCATTTTTCTGATTTTGCATGGAATGCATTTGTTTGTTGTAATGAAGACTATGGAGATTGCTAGCAGATGAAAAAGCACTACTTCCCCCCTTTCAGAATATGAGGTATTGTTTAACAACTGAGAAAGCAAATTTCTATAAAAATGTAATTCTTAAACAACCGAATTTTATGGAAATAAAATGTAAACAATTGTAGTATGGTTCAGAAACTGCTTTAAAGATAACCATATCTGGTTTATAATAGCTTTTCATTTTATTTATCATTGGACGAAGGATCATCATTGAACTGGGATTATCTCCAAACACAACTATCAATTGGTATGATTACCTTCAATAAGTATGCAAGTCTCTTACGAATAAAGCAGAATATAAAAGAATAGATGGCATTGAATGCATTGTTGAAGCATTAAACGAAAAATACTCAAATAACTGTTTCTTTCCAAAGTCTGCCAACAAGACCATAACTTTTCAATGGATTCAATAATCAGGAAGTACTTAAAAGACATTTGGTAATTCTATTTGCATCTGGGATGACTTCTTTGAAAATCTAATCTGTTTTTAATAGGTCATTATATGGTATATATAGTACCAACTTCTTATAATACTATTACAAGGGAACCAAAACATCCAAATTGATAAACTGTATTTATATATTTCTACATGCATGCTCAAAATTAAGAGAAAGACTTACCATCATTTTTATAGGTCTTAGTATTTTACTTTCACTATAATTTACCTAATAATTTTCTTTAAAAAGATTTTAACATAAACTTACACATAGCTAATCAACACAAACTTCGCAAAACAACGTAAAAACTGCAAGACAGTCTCATCAAAATAGGAATATTTCCCATATTATGTTAGGAATCGAAAAGAACAAATATTGATAAATTTTTAGAAACTCTTTTATGTTTATAATAAAACATATATATATAAAATGATTATTTATAGGTAAAAAACTGAAGTTGTCTGATTAAGTGCATAATATATTACAGTATTGTTAAATGGCACATATTGTCCAGTTATCAACTTAATAACTTCTTGAGCAGCACACCCACCCACAAAAGCTGCCACAGAGTGCAGCTCTGCAGCCCCAAAACGGCACATTTCATGAATATAATCATCTTTCATGACGGGAGAACAGCCCCATTCTTGCATTAAAGAGGAAACGCAATTCTTCAATTTTATGATGTCAGATTCGACATCATCGTTGTTGCGACCTGGATAACGACAATATTCAGAATTAAACCTATCTACTGCTCTGAGCAATACATAAAATATTATATCACTATCTTCATGCTCTAAGTTACCAACCATATTCTGCACTTCCGATTTAGTGGCATCATACTCTTCTTTCAGAGATCTTCCACGTAAAACACGCAAGCAATGTGCATTTTTACAAAAAATTTTAACATCATGTTTAGAAATAAAATTAGATGCCTTTCCTAGTTTGCATAATATTTCTTGAACCCTTACGTACATGTTGTGAGCATCTTCTTCTGCTTTTGTTTTATAAATATTTTGCAATTTGATATAACTTTGAGTATTAGAAGTCATGTCAGGAATTACTCCTCTAACTGGTAAACAACCATTGCCTTCATTTTCGACAAACTCTTTTAAGGCTTTGACTAATATCCAAAATGATTTGCTTTCACTACTTAAATCCTCGCACATTGGATCATTCAAGATTTCTTGTATTTCCCCAGGAATAGTAGTTTTGGTAACAGATCTATTCACTGCCCGACATGCCTCCTCAAAATTTTCTTCTTCATCTTTCTTTCTCATACTTTTTTGAATTTCAGCTTTGAAAAGATTTTTCTCTTTCATATTTTTTGGTATCTCACCATTATTTCTATTTTTCCAAATGTCCAAAAATTTCAAAAGAATAATTACAAAAGGCACATGAGCATGTTCTTGATCAGTTAGCTTGTCTAAGTCAATAGTTTCTGCATATTCCTTTAAAGCAGGAAAAGGTGCATCAAGCCTTAGATCATGAAATTCATTTTCTGGTCGTGTTTCTATTATAGTACGGTCTCTTACTTGCAATCGCAAATAGCCTATCAGTCCATAAGCTCGGCAAATTAACAAAGGCACATTTTGATCCCACAGTTTTTGGGCTAAATTTAGGAGTAAACATTCTTCTACGTCTGTTACTATCACTACAGAAAATTTACAAAAGAAATTAGGTTCTGCTTGTAATATAAATTCCACACTTTCATCCACAAATTCACCTCTTACATCAGGATTAAGCTCCAGTAAATGTTCAGTAGCTGTTTTTGCTCGAGACTTACCAATACTTTCTTTATCAAGGAAAAAATTATTGCCTGCATCTTCTCCAGTAATTAATTTGCTGTCAAGTATTGTGAAAGCGCCAATGCCTGGTAGAACAAGGCTTTTGAGAATTTCAGTACCGGTGGCTGTTGCATTTATTATGCAAACATGAGCAGATTCTAATGCATTTTGTCCGTGATCATCCCATAACCTCAGCTGACGATCATATTTAATTCTTTTCGCAGATTCTGTAATACCAGAATCACCGGTAAAAGCCATTGTAAATTGTCGCTTCATCAAATCGAGTTGCTTATATCCTGCTCAAGAGATAAAGTAATAAAAGTGCGTCTTCGTGCCGAGTAAGAAATTAAGTCAGAAAATGTTCTAAAATGTTTAATTAATTTCTATTTTTTATGTACTGAAGGAAATAACTTGTGTGCAACTTGATTACATGTTGAATTAAATGTAAATTTCGTCAACTAAATTACAATTTTTGAAGGTAATAATATTTTCAAAATATAACCAAGATACATCTCAACTCATTTCATAAGATTTGTTTACAAATTTTTATTTCTTCATCCGATAGGATGTGTATGATTCAATATGGTGTGATACCGTTTTCTCCAAGTATTTTACAGAAGTCTTACCGTCGAAACATAAATTTGCTAAGATGTGGTAACGTGTTTATTGCATTTATTAATTATATAGAACTGTGAGGGCTGCGATTTTTCTCTCCTGATCCGGATGTGGATATATTTGTGATAAATGTATCAATTTGCTCCTAGAAGTAAACTGAATTTCACTATGGTTTCTCATTTACAGTTTAGATTTCCAACATTAGCAGTCTATACTGTATCGCTTCCTCTCACGTCATTTTTGTTCTGTGTGCTATGGTCACTCTTGTTTAATTTTGAAAGTGCAACATTCACGCATTGTCGAGTGGCGAATTATTTACCATCTATCAGTGCTGCTATTGGTAGTTTCACACCTCAGAGATATATCTGGCAAATATGTATTGCAATTCATTCTGCACCAAGATTCCTGGTAGTTGCAATGTACTATTCGTATCTTTGTGATATCCTCTTTAATGAACCAATATGGCAATGGCTTGCTTCTGTTATATTCTTGCTACAAATTACTGAAGTTGGTAGTTTATTAGGACTGACGTTTGTGTCTTCTTCTGAAAATTTTCATATTCATGAACTGTGCTTCATAACATTTATGGGTTCAGCATTATCGAATATGTTGTTATTGTACCTTGCCATAAGACAAGGTAGTAAACATAAACTGACAGTTATAGAAAAGTTATCACTAAGATACAAGTTAATATTTGGTGTGACAAATATAACTTCATTTTTTCTAGCAGTGTATTTCTATTTTCGTCATAACTGGTATTGTGAACCAGTTGTTTACACATTCTTTGCTTTCTTTGAGTACATTGTTGTTATAACAAATATGGGTTATCACATGACTGCATACTGGGATTTTTCAGATCACATTATAACAGTTAGCTCTTGTTGTAGTGTGTCTGTCACACCTAAATCGCATGCAAAATTTGCTATGAATGATTTTGAAATAAAAATAGCATAAGATTTTCAAAATTTTAAAAGAGAAAGTATTATTTGAATGTTGTAGATGTTAACTGGAAGTTCATTTTATATAAAAATAGGCTAATTTTTACTGATGTATTGACTTGTTATTATAACAGCTTGAATGATGGTCACTTCTAGAAAGAATCACTGTTGCTTAAACTCTGGAAAAAAAAAAAAAAGTATTTGTTAAATTGGCCACTGTACTTAGATGCCAAAATTGACAAATTCACTCACACTGTCTAAGCATGCAGATTTCGAATGTTATCGGCAGAGGTTGATACAGTGGCTGCTTTAACGGGATTGTACCAAAAACTTGTTAAATGTAGTTATACAATATTAAATGTTGCTTGCTTAAGGCAACCACCTCTTTGAAAGATGGAAATTTCTTGAACCAGGAGCCATCATCTTGAGGAGACTTCACAGTGCTTGGATTATAACTGTTGTGCTGAAATTTTATTGGTACTTGTGGATCTTTGGAACAACCTGCATGACCAAAAGGGCACCAAACTAAGCACATAAATCTGCAATTGTCTCGAGAATACCTTAAAAACAATTTCCTTGGGCCTTTTGTGCTTGCTACATTTTGCAAAAATCTTTTTTCATCTCTTTTAGGGAAATAAGTCTTCTGTTTTGTGGCATATGCCACTCAAATGTTACTGTTTCTGGAACTACTCTGATATGCGCCCTCAAGTCGCCAAATTTCTCGCCAAATACTTTTGGCGAGAAAACGCCTGCATATTACTATCTAAATTTTTTGTCTACATTTTGAACTTTTTAAGCCTAAAATGTCTGCAAAAACTACGTTTTGAACACACAATTTAGCTAAAAATCCGAAACAAAACAAAAATTTGATAGCAAAACGTAAAGTTTCTAACCAAAAATATATGATTTTATATATTTATGATATGAATTTATGATATTTATGAGGGAGGTTAAAGTGATTCCAGACAGTAGTTGTATTATTACAAATATTTAATTGTTTGATACTATTTGATTGATGCTTTTTCTTCTGTATTATATAAGCTAATTATATTATAAGCAAATTTTTGATCCGTGCAACCAGTTTCTGTCATGGATGTTGTTCTTTATTAGACATTAGTGCTTCATGTTAGTTTGTTTTCAGATCTTGTTTTGTGGTCATTCTCAGAAAGTTAGTATGTGGGAAAAATTTCCCACATACTAACTAACAAGAATCCAAAAAAACATCTACGAATTGCACAATGTAGGCAACGAACGAATCTACAAACTACGCACACCTCTCTTTAATAAATTAACAAACAACAAATTTCAAAGAATACCATGTACACAGCATCTGCTTAAACTTAAAAAAATTCTACGATTGCACAATTTAGGCAAGAAGGAATCTACGATCTACGCACTCCTCGCTTTAATAAAATAACATAAACACAATAAATTTCAAATAATAATACTATGTACACAGTTCTGTTTCAACTTTAAAAACATCTCGAATTCTAACAGTCTAGACACTAAACAACAAACTAAAAAAAATTTCAAACAATTTAAAAAAAACAACAATAAGACAGTAATTCATACTAAGAACCAATGAACATAATTCTAAAAATAAGAACAAGGATAAACTAAAATGCACTTACCATGAATTAATGCGTTTTCGAATAGCAGAAATATAATTTACCGCCTTTAAAACATGCCGCCACTTAATCACTATTGTATTACATGACAGCCAGACACCTATCCATAAAATTTATACATGGTTCACAAAATAAATAAAATCACAAATCCCCTACTTCTATCATGCACTGCATTAAAAATAATCTCCCAGACCTCTTTCCACACTTCTAAATACCCACTACCCCTCAACAGGATAGCCACAATCTATTTTCCTTTGCCGAACTTCAATTCAACACTACCATTTTATCTTTCCCTCCCTCTTCTCAGACCCAGAGGGAACCAACGAGCTCCACGAAAGATTTTCAATGTCAACAGGGTGCCATAGAACACACAATCGCGCCAAAAACCAGTGCAGAACACATATCGCCACATTTGGTGAAATTAGGGCGCATATTAGAGTTGTACCCTGTTTCTTTCCTGTTTTTAAGATACTTCCGGCATTGTTTTTAGTACAAAGAGACTGTCATTGTGTTTAATAATTTTATCAGGCACACGCTATTCACACTCATATTTAGCAAGTTTGACCAAATGTTTTGAACAAACCTCCCTCATAAAGTGATTCCAGACAGTAGTTGTATTATTACAAATATTTAATTGTTTGATACTATTTGATTGATGCTTTTTCTTCTGTATTATATAAGCTAATTATATTATAAGCAAATTTTTGATCCGTGCAACCAGTTTCTGTCATGGATGTTGTTCTTTATTAGACATTAGTGCTTCATGTTAGTTTGTTTTCAGATCTTGTTTTGTGGTCATTCTCAGAAAGTTAGTATGTGGGAAAAATTTTTGGTAAAAGTTTACAGTTGGGTGCGCCTTGTTTCTTGGCAATTCTTTTTTGACGCCAAGATCGGTGCCAGGAAGGCACAATTTCAAGATGGCCACTACACAAAACCAAAATAAGAAGTCAAAGAACTACACAAACTCTGTGTCCATGTACACATTGATCTGTTTTCACTTAAAAGAAATCCTAGAATTGCACAAACTAGGCATTGCGCACTGCCTTAAATTTGTCCATGTACACATCAATCTATTTTCATTTAAATAAAATCAGGAAGCTAAAACAAAGTTGAAACTATCATGGTAACCAGAAGTGAGGTTTCATCGGCAAAATTTTTTAAAAATTGTCGCTAATCGAAGGGACACCCAATTCTACACTAGAGCCAAATTTTTTCTTGCAAAACAAGAAAAGCGTCTTTTTCAATGTATAGCAAATTGAATAAAGCTAGCATGTCTACAAATGAAGTATCATTGTAATGAAAAACTGAACATGAGAACCCAACACATAAAAGAGAGGGTATGAAATGCTGAAAAAAATGAAGGATTGTCATACTGAAGGCCATTAAGTTTATGCATTTGCCTCAAATATCCACAAGTACTTTTTCCTTTAAAACGAATGTGTGATATATTTCTAAAAAAACAAGATATTTCTTAAAAATGTGTTGTAGTGTATATATTAATGTTGTATATTCTGAGTGCATTTTGTGATCATTTTAGGCAAATAAATGCCTAATTTTGTCATTAATTTTAAATCTAATTGTGGCAAACATATTTAAAGAGTAATACAATACCTTCTGTAAGTCTATATTTTGTAAAATCTAAAGTAATTTTAATGTCATTTAAAATTAACTGTGATCTGTCTGTTGTTGCTAATAGATTTACTATTAGTATTTAAGAAATACTGTTGCACTAAGAAGTTCTTGAATTTTGTATAAGTGGAATTACATTATTTATTATTTAGTTTGCTTTTAAAAGTAGGTAGTATTCAACTGTAATAACATTAAAATTTAAACTAAAGGAATTTTTTAATTTATATAATTAAATTATGAAACATTTTCAGTTATTACTGAATATAAACTGTAGTTTTTTAAATATATTTAATTTCATAAATTGATATTGTAGCCGTAATGTTTAATATTATATAAGTCATGATGAGTATAAAATATTTGCATAATGAAATCTTAGTGAACAATTTGCTTAGTATGGTTTAATGCCAGGTGTAGAATTCTCCAGTATTTTATATAAAGAGAAAATATTTTACTTGTAAGATCGTGTATTTACAAGTTTGAAAATGTTTAAAAAATTTGGAGTAATACTGCATTGATCTTATTTTTTTAAATGGGATATGCAGTAGATATATTTTTACAGCGTAAAATCTGCATTTGCATGGCATTTCATATTTTAATTAATGGCTTATGACATTATAAGGATTATCTAAAAAAATCCGGCCATTTTTTAACTTTTGCTATACTCTGTAAAATAACGCGTAATATTGTAGTTTTCTCTTTGAATATTTGTTTCTTCGTTATATTTTTTAAATTATTTAGAACTCTGGATATAAATTTTCTAACTGAATAATATTTTGTTGTAAAATTGAAATTCAAAGCAGTATTGCATCACTGATTTTTTTTTTTTTTTAATGTTTTTAAAATTTTTTTTTTTTTTTTTTTAAGTAAATTAAAAGGATTAAAATTAAAAGATCTCATATGTGTGATTCTAGTCATTTATTTCACATTTTCTCTTTTTGTAAAATGAAGGTCTATGTGTTTAATGTTAGGTTTTTGTTTTTACCTATATAAATCATATCATAATAATAAATGATTGTTTGATTAATTTTTAACTTAATGTTACTGACTTAATCAAAGTGTTTATCATCTTGTGCATTTTTAAATTAAGAATATTTATTTAATGAAAAACGTGGTATTATGAAAAGTGCATTGTATGTTACATGTATATATCTGCATATTCATTCATTCATTCATAATATGATCTATTTAATCTAATACTTTCATCCAAAAGATTCTCAATTTAAGTACCATATGCAGTAAAACAAAAATTTAATCATGCTTGCTTTTCAGAGAATGACTTTTTGCTTAACCCTTTAACTGTCAAGTTATTTTGATGATTTGTGTACACAAATTGTCAAATTTTTTTATTGGAAAAACCAAATGTAGCCGAAATAGACATCTCCCGATATATATTTGGGTATGACAATACGATGCACTCAAAAAAAAAATTACCCCGAGAAATACTCGGCGTGACATTTTCGAACACCAGTGCTGTGCCCAAGATAATCTCGGGCATAAAAGGTTAATCATGTTGCTTTATTTTATAATTGTTGTTTTTCTTGTCTGAAAAACCCTAGAATTTATTTGCTATTACATTATAATAATTTTGGTAGTTTTATGTACTTGAATTATTTTTGCATCTTTTATATTTCTGTGATTTTGCAAAAAAATAACTTTTTCATTAAATTGCTGCATTTCTAATCATTATTTATAAAAGTGTTAGCTAGATGGATTCCTTTTTAGTCTTTGTTTTCAAATAATTATAACATAACCAAAATACTGGAAAAGTTCAAATAACGCAACAGAAAATAGGACCTATCAATTTCGATTTGAAGATATAAATGAAATTTACTGCATTACATTTGAAAAATGTTTTGTGCTGCAATTTGAGTGATGTAGAGTAGGATTTGAAATTCTGGACAACAACTGCAAATAATCAAACCCTAAAAAAAAAAAACTTACTTAAAAAAAAACTACTAAATATCAGGTTAATTATTTGCTAGAAAATATTGTACATCACAGTGAAAATTTTGTTTATTTATGTAAGCATTCAACTAAGAGTAAGTTTTATTGCTAAAACAAATATTTTTTCCCTCAGATTTTTATATTTTCAATCATTTTGATCATTGAAGTTTGAAAAATCAAAATACCTGTTAATACCATTGGTACTAACTGACCGACAAAGCTATATTTTATATGGATTCCACAGTCCCATGGATTTCAATATTCTGTTCTATGAACTTTGTGATATTACTAACTGGCTAGGTTATTTAAATTTTGTGAAGTATACAAGGACTATTTGCCTAAGGTTAAGGATGCTTTCATGAAGGACTTTCTAATGGAAGCTGGCTCATGTTGTTATTCATAGGGGAAAATGTGAAAACACCTATGCAGCTAGCCCCTTAATTGACCCTTAGACCTGGGTTGAACTAAATAAGGAGTTAATATAATAAAATAAAGGGTATTGTTTAACAAAGAATTAGATTTAAAGAATTCTTTTTAATTAACTTGTTAAATGGTTACCATACATTGAAGGTTTTCAAAGTAATTT